TCGTGGCATCTGGCAGTTCCAACTTTCCTACAACTTCGGGTGGTTCTGGATCTTTTGCTACTTCTCTAGCATCATCAAGGAGCTCAGGGTCTATTACTTCGCCATCACCCTCGTTAAGCCTCGCCGAGTCCAGTAAGCTCGTGTTCACCACCAGCAGCGGCTCTAAAATCAATAGACCATCAGAAACCTCTATCGACCCAAACACCTCACCCAGCAGCTTGGTATTCTCAAGTGCCTCGGAATCGTTTGCCATTTCGACTTCCATTCATCCATCGTCCCTTATGCTCTCGGAATCGTTGACCGTCTCGGACTCAATACTAAGCGACGTCGGAGGCTCCCATTCAGAGGCGTCCACCAGCAGCCAAGGGTCGCCTGACATGACCTCCAGATCTTCGAGTGCTTCGGGCCCCAACACAAGCTCTATCGACTACTCGCTCTCTTTGGTAACGTCCAGTGTATTTTCTACGGGAAGCGGCTCAGTTGTAGGACCAACACCACTATCAGCCGTCTTTCCTAGCATAACGGTTACGGGTTCAACCGTTGATATCGACACAGTCTCATTTATCACCACCACAGGACTATTCACTGGGACGGAGTCGATTACAGGTCCAGTGACGGTAACAGTACAGCCAAGTGGGACCATTCCCGGTACCGTTATCATTCAATTGCCACAAGCTCGATTCGTCACTGTCCGAGTACCCTTCACGGGCACGGCGTTCATCACTCAGCCAACTACAATATCTATCATTGCGCCAGTTGGGACCGCCCCAGGAACTATTGTTATCGCTACGCCGACCACTTCTGGAGCCTCAGTAGCTACCGAGTCATCGTCGTCAGAATCAATGTCCGCGAGTCCGGCGTCTTCGAACGTATCCTTACTACCACCGTCTACAGATATGGGCAATATAGAGACCACAGAAAGCCGAGCAAGCGTTTCGGAAAGCGAGAAGATGCCATTGGCACAGCCTTCTTCCATTGCTGGAGAGACATCATCATTCGAGGTCCCGCAGTCCATGTCAACAACGGAAATCTCATCAGGGGAAAGTACAGGGGCAAGCACAACCAGATCGACCAAGCTTCCGGGGTCATCACCAGATGCGACAAACAGCAGCCCGCCTGGTACGGCAAGCACGGAGATGATCAGTAGCCAGCAGCCGACTAACTTGCCTGTGAGCTCTAATCCTCGGTCCTCGACAATGCCGAGTAACGCGGGGGAGCCATTCAGCGCCTCCTCCACAGTCAGTCTCGGGCCCTCCGTCACGCCCTCCATCACTTCATCCGTCGAACCCTCAATGCTTTCCTCAATTAGACTGTCTCAAGCATCCTCAACCGACAAACCCGTGGAGTCCGCAAGGGATCCATCGTCAAAATCGGTGGAAACATCCGGCATGGCCTCGTCGCGGTCCATGAGCAGCGTTCTCACCTCAGCAACCCATAGCTTCCCGGTTACAAGTAGAGAGCCTGCCTTCTCACCAAGTTTCAGCGCTTCGACAACGGGTGATTTCGTTAGATCCAGTGTCTCAATCTCTGAATCAGGCCCACGTCTCTCTCTTGAACCCAGCAGCCTACTTGTTCCAGGTGGCCAAACTACACAGACTTTGCTTTCGTCTAGCGAATCGAGCATTCAAACAGGCAGATCGAGTGGCCCGTCTTCCGTCTCGTTGAGTAGTGAGGCTCCAGTATTGAGCGAGCAAGGTCCATCATCGACGGAAGCCGTTACTCTGAGTGAGGTTGGTATCTCAAGTGAGCTTTCTGCCTTGCCGAGTTATTCAACCTCCTCAGGTGACGCTGTCCTGTCGACCAATGCCACCTCTTCAAGACTTGATGCCTCCTCGACCAGGCTTACATCCGCTGGTCAGCCTTCAGTAGTGCCAAGTACGACGCCTTTTGCAAGCAGCACCGTGCCAGCAAGCTCTAGCCCGTCGTCCGGCGAGATCTTATCATCTGCTGAGATGAGTGCTACCCCTGGCCAATCTGCTTCCGGCAATGCTTCTCTTTCTCGAGACCCTGCTGTTTCCTCCAGCGACCCGACTGTTTCTTCAAGCGATATAAGCTCCCTAAGCCAGAGTTTGACTTCCTCTGATGTAGTGATACCCTCAAGTGGTAGCGCACCTTTCCCAACTGCTGTTGTCTCGTCAATGGAGCCCACGCGATCTCCCAGCGCGGCCATTCCAGCGAGCGACTCGGTCTCGACGGAGGCAGTCAGTTCTTTGAACGTGACGGCGATTCCTCAAAGTGAATCTTCGACCATCTCCAGTGGAAGCTTTTCATCAGGGCAAGATGGCTCGTCAGGGGGGACTGCTCTGTCCTCCACTCCGTCAATAGGCACTTCCAGTTTTGTCGTCTCGCCTGGACAACCGACTCCATTTCCAAGCGAGACTGAATTGACTTGGAAATCTTCAGCCAATGCGTCCATCTCGCCAAGCGCTATAGCTACTTCTACCGCAGATGTCGTACGGTCGAGTGCCAGCAGACAAAGCGCGGAGCCGTCAGGTAAACCGATCATACAGCCAAGCTCCTCTGGACTGGCTCCCGGTACAGAATCGTCCCAGAACACGGGTAGTGAGACGTTGTCAAGCGAACCGGCATCATCAGCTATCGCATCTTCACAGTCGGATGCCACCGTGATGATCCCGACGAGTAGCGGTTCGGTTTCAAGCATCGGACCATCCGACGCATTGAGCAACGCCATACCATCGTCTAGCGAGTCTGTTTCTTCAGATAGAGCCTCATCCGAGAAGCTAAGCAGTAGCATCGAGCTTTCAACCAGCTTGTTTTTTACCATGTCTTCAGACACTGGGGCTACCGAGACAAGTTTGCTAGCCTCATCGATGACCGCAACGAGTAGTGCATCGCCCACACCACCAACTTCTTACGAAAGTTCTTCGACCGTTTCGTTGCCTATGCAGACCAACAGCGTTCTGCTGAGCAGCGGGACGAGCGTTCAGCTTTCAAAGTCTGTTGCGGTGTCTGACGGTACTGCACCGCCATTGACAAGGACTTCGGAGCCCGGCAGCAATATTTTTGAACCCACAAACGCCAGCTCAGCCGCCAGTAGCAGCGAAGTCCAACCTTCCAGTGTCAAGAACATAGTTCTGTCAAGCAGTAATATCGTGTTTTCCACCAGAGACAGTGTGGCCACGTCTTCAAGTACTGAGCAGCCTTCTGATCCAACCAATACGAGATCAGACCAGGAGTCCAGTTCCAGCAGTAAACCACAGACGCCGACAGAGCCAGTACAGCTTTCATCACAGGTTTTTGAGTTGACCAGCGCTCCGCTCGATTCATCCAGCCAACTACCATCCAGAGCCTCAACCAGCTATGTGTCCGACCTCGTGTCGAATATTTCACCGTTATCTGACCAGCCTGGTACCACTGCGGGAACGATATCCACGGAGGTTGCTAGCAGTGAATCTCTTAGTCCTGGGCTGGGATCTTCAGCGACGTCGGGCAGTGACATTACTTTATCAATGGTGGAGCTATCTGTGCCCTCTAATACTGAGATTCCGACCTCTGAGCTACAATCCCTGCCATCGGCGAGCGGTCCAGTGGTAATTACTGGCTCACTTGACTTCAGTACCACCTTTGAATCGCTATCCATTCAAACTACCAGTAGTCAGGTCGTTACATCCAGCTCAGAACCTCCGGGATCTATCGTTAGTTTCGAGGTTTCGTCAAAACTCACCATATCGGACGTTCCAAGTAGCAACATCCCGGCTTCAAGCCCGGAGCAACCAGAGCCTCTTAGTACCAGTGCCCCCCTGCCACCGTCGTCTTCAAAGATGCCGAACAGCGAAACGACCTCTTTGACAGATGCACCATCCGAGGTCCTCAGCATTGTCACTATGGTATCTGGCTCAGAGCCTTCAGGCCTCTCCAGCAGCACGCTGTCGTCATCAGCGCCAGACGTACTGAGCAGCACAAGCACACTGAGTTTAGCGATCTCGACTTCTGGTGATTCTACAGGCAGCGAAAGCCAGACATTCGTCCCGATGTCATCTCAGCCGCCAAGCAGTGAAACAGTCGATCCAGGTCTAGAAACCCCCTTGAGCACAGTGAGCGACGTCATGACTGCTGAGTCTGAGTCTTCTGCAGTGTCTAGTAGCGGAATGCTCACATCTGACCGTGAGCCATCTGCAAGCAGCCTGAACACCATTGCAACTAATGTGGTGGCAAGCTCCGAATTGGAATCTGTGAAGTCAACAAGAGCCGAGTCTGCAGTTTCGAGTCCAATACCACCTGAACCATCAAGGAGCGAATTTCCCACCTCAAGCACAGAAATTTCCGTAGCTTCGAGCAGTCAGAACACTGCTCCAAGCGCGGCCCCGTCAATGTCGGACAATAATCAGCCCAGCACAGTGCCTTCAACCATGGTTTCCCAACATGCTGAATCATCCTCGGCGCCATCGAGCAACGATATTGACTCCTCATCAGCCTTGGCATCCAGTAGTATCACCTTGTCTACCTCAACCAGCGTGAACCTTTCCAGTGGCAGTAGAGCTTCATCTGTACTGCCAACTATCACTGGTAGCGTTGTTTCCACTTCCGACTCGAGCCCGACAACTGCAATCAGCGAAGAGCTATCGCAAATAGCGTCATCGGATACCTCCCTGACTACCACTGTAGAGGAGAGTATGCCGACCTCGCTTTCGACGGATGGCGGGGGTAACCCTTCGTCAGCTTCCTCCTTGGTCGGTACCGAATCAACAAGAACACCAGGTTTCGTAAGCTCAGTTCTCGACACAGCTGGTAGTAGCGAATTTTCAAGTTTCTCGTCTGGGACTCCAGGTCCAGAGAGCAGCATACGCAGTGGTTTAGGAACAGTCTCGACCGTGCCGCCACGTTCGACATCAGAAGCACCCGTTGCTTCTCCTGTGTCTTCGGTTGCTGCATCATTTGCGCCAAGCCCAAGTGCATCAGATGGGACTCAGTACGATAGGTCTTCTACCGAAGTATCTATAACTACCGACGCAGTGTCATCCACAACAGCCTCTGCGAGCATGCAGTCGTCTTCGACACTGGAGAACAAGTCTTCCCTCGTAGTAGTCACGTCTTCGCCGGCACAAATATCTTTGCTGTCGACAACATCTGCTCTAGATATTTCAAGCTCTCCCAGTGTCACATCCGACGTCTCAAGTTCCATGTCTTCTGAGCAGGCATCTGTTAGCACAGATTCCACTCTGCTCTCGACATCGCTTATGCAGGCATCCTCAGCGGTAATAAGCAGCTCGACATCCGTCACTGGGCTGATAACAACAAGCGCAACAAGTCTGGGTTCCTTCACCCAACCCAGTACCTCAACAATTCTAGTTCTGAGCTCTTCCGTGGAGCCGCTCTCATCCGCACATGCGACATTCAGTTCAATTTTGTCCAGCAGCCAAATTGCGAGCTTCTCTTCGGAGGCAGCTGCAATCTCTCTTTCTGGTACCTCGACTATCCTCTCCTCACCCATCAGCACATTGAGGGCATCGTCGAGTACACTTCCGAGCTCGAGTTCAGCGATTGAGGTGCCTTCAACGAAAAACTTCGATTCGGCGAGTTCAACGACACCTGTAAATACCAGCCCACCATCCAGTTCATCATTCAGCAGAGGAACTACATCATTCACGAGCATAGTGGTTTCAGCGCCAAGCGCGAGTAGTTTTGCAGTGACCAGTTCCACGGAGAGCTCTACGACCAGTTCGGCAACTCGCTTGGCAAGCAGTACTGTGACACCAGCCCCGGCAACAAGCAGCTCAACCACCCGCTCGATGAGCAACTTGTTCAGTAGCACAACTACCAGCTTCACTCTGTTCAGCACCACAGAAACCAGTCTGACATTGATTAGTCTGCCAAGCTCAAGCTCTTCGAGATCATCAATGGCAGGCACTGCAAGTAACTCTCCAGTGAACACATTCCAAAGCAGTGTAGCTCTCACCACGCCAACTGCAAGCACCAAGGTCACGTCCACCACGACGACATCGATAAGCTTGATTTCCATCACACAGACGCCCTCTTCCAGGGTATCGACTAGCCTGACTTCAACTTCTGTTACCGTAGTCATTTCCACCACTTTGACGACCATTTCTACTGCATCATTTACTACCAGTACATCAATATTGGCTACGGCCATATCAAGTTTGTCCACTATAACTACAGCTAGTACTTCAACATCAAGGGCTACTTCACCATCCACTGCTATTACTTCCACTTCTACTCTATTATCCAATACAACTCCTGCGCTAAGCTCCTCAACTTCTACCTCCACTTCAGTATCAAACTCTGCCATTCTGGTTACGCCCTCTACTTTTACCACCACGTCTACTAAAGCTACTCCGTCAAGCATATCGAACACTGCAGGCACGTTGAGCATATTGAGCACCTCGAGTACGTCAAGCACGGCGAGCACTTCGACATCCATGACTTCAACCTCCATCGTTTTGACTACACAGATCACGTCGACACTAAGTACGGCAAGTTTGTCTAGGATAACAACTACCCCAACGTTCACATCCTCGACTGCCCTCACAACCACATCTGCTTCCACCACCTCAAATCCTTTGTTCACTCCAACGACCTTGGGCACAATAGTCACCTCAACCACCTCGACCACCCTAGGCACGATCACGTCCACTCTCACTTCAACATCTACCATTCCGATCACTTCCTCCACCCCAACCACCTCAACTATCCTAACTACTCTGACTACCCCGACCACTGTAGCGACTCCGACCACGTCTACTTCCACCTTGGTAGCTCTAACTACTGTAACTACTCCGACCACCACGACCACTCTTACCCCTCTGACGACTCCGAATACTCCGACTACTCTGAGGGCTCCTACAACTCCCACCACTCTGATCACTTCCACCACTCTCATTACTGCTCCTACTTCAATTACTCCGACTACCACATTCACTCCGACTACTCCGACCACTCTCCTCACTATGACTCCTCCAACCACTCTGACAACTCTGACCACTTCAACGTCGACCACGTCGACCACCTCGACTACCTCGACCACGTCGACCACCTCGACCACCTCCACTACTTCAACGTCAACCCGAGCAGTCGCCTCAGCAACCGCTGGCCCACAGTTCAGCTGCCCGCCAACGGGCTTCCTCGTCCAGGGAACAAGCTCGGGCGTCACCTTGTCATCCGTCGACATCACAACTGGCCAACAAACATTAATTCGCAGCAACATCGCGGGAAACTCGGAAGTCAATGCCCTGGGCTATAACGCGCGCGATGACTACCTCTACGCCGTGGCCCAAAATGGCCTCCTTACGTCCATCTCGATCATCCGCCTCAACGCCCGCGGCGATGTATCCGTGGTTGTCCCTCAGGTTGCCAACAAGCTCGCCCTTCTGGGCGGCTTCAACGCGGGCGACGTCGACGAGAACTCCCAATACTGGATCTCCACCAGCGGCAATGACTGGTACCAGTACGACCTGCGCCCCGGCAGCGCCACCTACGCGCAACAGATCGCCTACGGCACCCTGCCGCTGCTGTCTCGCCCCACACAGGTCATCGCGGACTGGGCCTACGTCCCCGGCGGCGGCAACTTCCTGTGGGCCATTGGCACGGCAGCCGGCGGCCGGACGGTCCTCATGCAGTTCAGCCGGTCGACGAAGCGGTGGACGCAGGTGCGCGACTTTGGCAACATTGTCGGCGGCACGCTGCTCAACCAACCGGTCTGGGGTGCCGTGTACGCGAGCGCCAATGGGTTCCTGTACGGCACCGAGAACCTCACTGGGCAGGTCTGGCGGTTTCCCGTCTTGTCGAGCACGGCGCCGGCGACGAGTCTGGTCACTGGATCACCGGCAACGCTCAATGATGGTGCGAGATGTCTGGAAGCGTCGAATCTGCCAACGTAGGGACTCCATGACGAGCCATGTATAACGTTCTCGGCGCTGGGGTATATATACAGTCTCACTGGAGGACTGTTTATGTTTGTACATTTGTTTGGGTCTTGGGATAGCATAGCTGAGCACACGCTCCTTCCATATGTCGACTTTTGGTTTCATTGATTGTTTACTCTTTATCATGCAGTCGCCTGTCCAGCGGCAATGCTTGTCAGTGTCATGCTCATACGTCTCATTCAAACCTTCTCCTCTCACCAAGACCACACGGCAGAATCTACCACGCCATCATGAGGCCTGCGCCCATCAATACGGCAGCGCCCCACGTCGCCACAAGGACACCGGCGCCGGCACCGAGCGTGAACCTCCCGCTGCGAGCCGCCGACTGGCCCGTCTCGGTGGGCTCCTCGTCGCCGGCCTCGCCCTCATTGCCGGCCTCGCCCTCACCATCGCCGTCACTAACGAGCGTCACCATGGGAACATGTTCAAAGCCGGTAAAGGGTCCCTCAAACGCAACGACTACCGAAGCCGTGGCCGGGTCGGCCGTCACGTCGCTCAAGGCCACCGTCTCAATGTAGCGTGAGGGTGTAAACTCGGCCGTGTCGGTCTGGCTGAGGGCCATGCCCGTGACCTCTTTGCCGTTGTAAGTGAACGTGGCCGTGATGACGTCCGGGCGCGGGAAGTCGTCGACCATGTGCAGACAGACGGTGGGGGTCGGAAACTCGGACAAGGGAAAGTTGCGGAAGCAGTTGCCAAAGCCGGTTCCCTCAAAGCCGGACGGGCAGCAGAGGACGGCCGACTCGCCCGGGGCGAGGGCCTCGACGAGGATATTGGCCACCGGGTTCGTGTGTTGACTCGGACCGTGGTCCCCCGTAGCGGTCGCCGCGAATTCTGTCTCGGCCTGGGTGAAGTGGCCCGACGCGTCGGTGTCGCCGTTGGCGGACTTTGTGGCTGCGCCGACGGTCGTCCAGCCCGACGGACAGATGGAGGCTGGTGAGTGGTAGGCCCACGGAGTCGGGTAGGCGGCTGGGCTGCGGGATTGGGCTACCCACAGCGATTGGATTTCTTCGCCATTCGGTATGCAGTTGAAGAAGTCGCCGACGCGTTCCTCGCTGCAAGGAGAGCCGTACAGGGGAAATGTCGGCGCAGCAACCCGGGCGAGGTATTTGTCGGTCGGGCCCTCGGTGCAGGAGGCGGGCGGCGTCCAGGTTGTGGTCAATGGGCCGACGTTGATGAAGCTTTGCTGGGAGAGGGAGCCGACAGAAGGCATGGCGATGGATGGTATTGCTGGATACGTCGCGCTGCTCTGATGTGCTTGCAGGGTCGATCAGGACGACGCGCCAGAAGAAGCTTGGGCACCTGTTGTTTTAATGCCATACGACTGTGCCGCTGAAATACTGACGAGCCGAAATGGGATGCGGCACAGTCACATAAGCGCTATGACGCAGATCATGGCAGGCAACGATACAAAACCTCACGCCAAGAGAACGTTGAATGGACAAAGTCCTCCATTCCAGATGATAGAGATGGCGGATCTGTCGGTCGGGTCTGCCCTGAATCGAGGGGCCCTGCGATACCCCAGACTCATAGACTCACGTAGGCCAAGCAAATATCAGGCTTCAGAGAGCACAATGTGTGCCTCCTTGGCGCGTGAGCTAGCGCATGTCGAGGGGGTTTGGAGTTGGCAGGTTCTTGGAAGCACAGCGCCAACAGACACGCAGGTAGAGGCAAGCTTGTCACTTGCCGCTAAGGGATCGCTGCTTCTATTCAGTCGGGCGAAGACGCATGGGGATGGTATTGGAGGAAGCGGTTGGTCTCGAGGTTTTTCAAAATCCAAGCTGGGCCACGAGCAGAGCATAAGCAAAGCACGTGCAGTGTGCCAGGGCCCAAGCAACAAGGCCTGAGAAGTCGTCGTTCTACGATCGCCAGGTCGGAAGAACGGGCCAGCTCCGGCGACATCGTAACGACCGCTGCATTCATACGACTGCCTTCATGACGGACTGCGAGAGCTGCTGTCAGCTGAGTGCCTAGTGAGAGTGTCATGCCCACGTGTGCTTAATGGCTCAAGGGTGCCCGACGTGGCCATGATCATGCCTCCACCTGGCCAGCCTTGTCGGCTAGGCTGGAGACGAGTGACTGCCCATTCTCGAATTGACCGTGATCAATCACATGCCGCAGGTAGGGGGGTTGGTAGCGGCGATGTGGTGGTGTGGTGCTGGATATTTCAGGCTCTGCCCAGATCGAAATCGTAGCCCCGATATGGCAGGACTGTCCTTCTGGCGCATCAAAGGGCGAATGGGAGATTGACTCGGGCAAACCGCCTCTGAAGAAGGATGGACGAGAGAGGAAGACGTGGATGGGGCGGTGAAGAGCGTTGGGGGCTCGCCGGTAAGGCTGAGATGCCCCAGCCACAATCCCACGATAGAACCTGCCTAAAAGAGGGCGAGGGACGCCCCTGCCAAGCCATTATAGCGTGACCAAGCTACCTACATCCAGACACCGGGTAGGAGCTGCCGGCGCAGCCATTGCATCTTGTGGCGATCTGGGGAAGATGCTTTGCTCTCGTTGTCATACCTCGTCCATCCTCAACCTCGTCCATCCTCAACCTCGTCAATCCATCAACGAAGACCAGACACATCACTGGACACACCACATGCGGAGGCCAGGCCCCGTAATCCCCCTTCCGCGCGTTTCGAGCGCCGTGCTCCACCAGCTGACGACGCGCTGCCTCCCCACGTACCTACGTACTGGCCGGTCATGCCGCCCAACGGCCAGGATGCTCGCGGAACACCCCCACAAGCACGCGCTGACGTTTTATCCTCGAGATGGTCGTGGCCGCATCGTTGCACCGGGCTGGACTAGGTATCGAGACACACGAGCAGTGCCGATCATGCCCGTCCTCGGCCCTTCTCCTTTGACTGTCCGCTCCGTGCTGGCACTTAAGTTCCGGCTCACATGGACATCATTCTGACTCCCCCCAAACCGGCGTCAGGGACACCTGCACAATGCTGCCACTCTTGATTCCCCTTTGGATACATCGCCAATCCCCATCTCGTTCTCACCCCGCCTCAGTTGGCGTTGGCCTGCGGTTATCCAAGCCCTGTTGCTCGTCACTACGGCCTCGTTCGCCGACCATTGCGACCGTGACACACGACTGACGCGACTATCGGCTGTCTCCCATGGCCTCCCACAAGAGCCTCGATGGCTCAGCGTCTTCGCCTGATACCCGTGCGCGCCTCGCGAATCTCTACGCCGTTGTCAAGTCGCGGTGCCTGCGTGTCCCCCGTCTGGCGTCCCAACTTCTGATCGCCACGGCTCTGCTCCTCACCCTCGTCTGCCTCGTGCCCTCGCAAACCAAGCAGTCGTTCCTTGGCGCCGACTTTTCCAACCACTGGAAATGGCCATATTCTTCAACCGCTCCGGGCTCCCCTATCTACAATGTCAGCTCTGGAGGGCCCGTTCGCATGGTCGTCTTTGGCACGCCCGATGTTGCATCACCCTCCAAGTCCAAGGGCAAAAGCGGCCCTAGCTGGACAGAGGCCCTTTGCGCCGAGGTACAAAACAATGCTCCAAAGCCTCGGGAAACCTTTGCTAACGACGTCCATTAGCTGCGTTGTTCATCACACGAATCCTTCGTGCCTAGTCTTGACCTGCCCACCCAAGCATTAACCTCCAACAGCCTCTACAAGCCCACCTTGCAGAAGCTGCTGGTTCCAGTTGCGGACCAGGCCAACTTGGGGGTTGACTATCGTCATGTCGAAAAACAATACCCACTGGCCAGCACTGCCGATATCGCGCACCAAGTCAGCCAATTTCTCAAGGGCCCAAAGCAGACCAACCCGCCTAAAGAGACTATATGGGTCTTTAGCTTCGGCACGTGGGACATCTGGACCTTGGCGGCCTTGCCTCGCGAAGTGTCCCAGGGCTTGGTACAAAACATGGTCGAGCATCTCTTCAGTCAGATCGAGCTTCTCTACAAGGCGTCCTTGTTGGTGGACTCCCCTGCCTACTCAGACTTTTGGGCCTACACCAATGCATCTCTTCTAGAGAGCTTGAATGGCAACCCTTCGGCTGATACCGTCGAGTCTTTCCGCATCGTCATTCCCGAACTCTTCGATTTATCATTGACTCCGGGCTGGCACACCCAACGCCCCACACCTCCCGTTCCACACAGCAAGGCGGAGCATATGGTCAATGCCGCATTCCTTGTTGATCACTGGAACTCCGAAGTCAGCGGCCGCATGGACGCCTGGACCCGCCTTGCCGATCCCGAGCCAGCGCACGATGACACGGACGCCCCCAAGCGGCCTACAGACGCTGAAGGCAAGCCGTATTTCGGACTCTGGAGTCCAACTGGAAAGTCCTCCGGCAAAGGTAGAGCCAGCGACGAAACTCTCCTCGTACCTTATCCCCGCCGCGCCGGACTTCTCACAAACACGACGAGTTTTGTCAAGGAGGTTATCATCGAGTCGCAATTGCGGGCAAGCGGGCTAGGAGATGGACTTGGAAGAGGAAAACGGGAAGATGAAGCGTTGCTTCGGTTCGACGAAGTGTGGACACCGTGCATCTGGGACGGAGCAGCGTCCAAGCCTTGCAAGCATTCTGACAGGCACCTCTTTTACTCTCCTTTTACCCTAGGAGAAAGGGCAATCCGGGAGGCAGCGCGACAGACGGCCGAGGCAGTAGCAATGCAGTTGTTCGCCAAAGAAGGCGAATATGACACGGCGGCCTCTGGGTGGAGGGTAGAGGGCGCCGCCAAGAGGAGACGAGCAAGTGAGAAGTCATTCCGAGTTAAGGTGCGATCAGCACGGTCATCATGAAAAAGGTTCGCGGACAAGTGGGAGAGCTTACATTGAGCTGAGTTGTTGAGTCGATAAGGCTGGGTCTCGGATCGATATTGGTGGTTGGCGTTGATCACATGTTAATTTCGTGACAAAATGGACTTTTGGAACTTCTAACATCTAAACCCACCCCCCGAAAGGTAGGACAAGCTCCGTCTGATGGGCCATGAAAGGTGAGAAGCTAGCTCTGTCTCCGACAAAGGGGCGACGTACGAACCAACCCACACGTGCTTTCCTCTGTATTTCTAGTCCCCTCCTCCTTTGCGTCATAACGATCAGTCTCACCTAGCAGGGTCTGTCCGGACATTTTACCCCCATAGGCTGTTAGAGGTACATTGCTATCAAGGCTGGATCGTGGCGCCGCCGAAGCGGGGTATTCTTGGATTTGTTGGTCTCATGACCAAATGCTCTTTCTGGAGCTGTTACACGAATTATGCCGAGCTGCTAGGTTTTTGGATATGTTGGCACCTTCGCATAGGCTGGAAGACATGCATTCCACCGAATACTGCAACGCTCATAGGCTGCGGACAGCATGCAGTCATATCAGGCTCTGGGATCGTGTGGCGAAGGGATGAGGATTGCCCGACACAGACATATAAGATCAGGCTGCGGGATCCTGAGCGCCGAAAGTCCTCTTTTACAATCTTCGACCTGGGACATGCCGACTTGTCTCTACCTTCTATCGTTTCTGAGGTTTTGCTGTGAGGTATCGTAACTTCATTCGACTGTTGAAAATCAGTAACGACTTCTTTGGTCTCTCGGTTGGCTTCGTTGCCACTCCCTGTGAATAGCTATGGACCCCGTGTCAGCTATAGGTGTTGCCTCCGCCGTCATTAGTTTTGTCGACTTCAGCATCAAAATCATCCGCGGAGCAATCCGGATATACGGTGATGCCAACCGTGACAATGACTGGCAGATGCCAGAAGACGTGGCCGAAAAGATGATCAAGCTCGTCCGAAATCTACGGCAGACGTCAGGCTTTGGCGTCACACCGGACGAGAAGGAGATTGCCGAGCTTGCCAAGACTTGCATGACGCTGGCGGAGCGGCTCGCCGCGCTCTTCAAGTCTCTGCGGCCCAAGGACGCCAGGTCGAAGCGACAGTGTCTTTGGGCGGCGGTCAAGGCGAAGCACAAGCAGGCAGACGTCGAGGATTTGGAGAATAAGTTGCGCACTTGTCGTGACCAATTGCAATTGCATCTTACCCATTCTGACTTCCTCAATGGGTGAGTTTCTAGCCTGATACGAGATCGAGCAGGGACATTTCGTGACTGACCGCCCTGCAGGAAGAACATGAAAAATGCTCTTGAGACCATGATCTTGCAACGTGAAGCTGACTCCGCCAAGTTCAGTTCCTTGTTTACGAGTATCGAGAGTCTCAAGGAAGCTGTTATGTTGGCCACAAGACCTAATGAAGTTCCAGTTCTGGGGGCACAAGCCATCACGCACCTTCGAGAAGCAGTCTCCGTGCAAAGCGGGCTGCTCAATGATGCTGCTACATCGACGATCCTGAAGAGCATCGCATTCGATGGAATAAATGCCAGATACGGATCGATTCATGACGCCCACCAGGATACACTCCGCTGGATTCTGGAAGATGACGACCAGCGCCAACTGCAGCCATTGCTTATGTCCTCAAAGCAGAGACTGAACAACTGGCTCTGCAATGGAACAGGTATCTTTCACATCTCTGGAAAATTAGGATCCGGAAAGTCAACATTGATGAAACTCTTGGTTGATCATCCGCACACCCAACAGAGGCTTGAGACTTGGGCTGGTCAGTTATACGTTGCGGACCATTGCCATGGGCGTTGAAAATGGATAGCTAATACTCTAAACAGGACCATCTAAGCTTTTGACCGCGTCTTTCTTCTTCTGGAGGCCAGGAACCAAGGAACAGAAGTCTATTCCCGGACTATATCGTTCCTTGCTGCATAGTTCCTTGAAAGCCATGCCGGACCTTATTCCTCACGTTCTACCAGAGCGATGGCAGACAGCGCGAAGCTCCCCTTGGCATATCAACCAGAGTTTTGACATTGGTGATAAAGAAATACGTTCCGTCTTTGCTCTACTTGTTGATACCGATATTCAGCATATGAAGTATTGCTGCTGCTTTTTTATCGACGGCCTAGACGAGTACGAGGAGAGTCCCCGAGAGGATCATCGAGATCTTGTTGATCTGATTACTAAATGGGCACAAAGCTCTAGAGATGTAAAGCTTTGTGTCTCCAGCCGCGAGTATAACATCTACATGGATGCTTTCCTCGACTCGCATCGCATCAAGATTCACACCCTGACACAGTTTGATATCGAGGCATACGCTACTGAGAGGCTGTCTCGAATCTCACTGTGGCAAGGCTTTGACAGACTCATACACAACATCTCGCACAAAGCAAAGGGTATATTCATTTGGGTCACTCTTGTGATTCGAGAAATGCGGTACCAACTGGACAATCACGCCGCACCTGAAGACCTGGAGACGCAACTCGATCTCTTGCCACAAGAGCTTGGAGACCTTTATTCCTTCATCCTGAACGAATTGTTGCGACCAGATGAAAGACGTAGGGCCTTCCAGACATTCAGAATTATGAATCTTCTGCGACAATACAACGAACCTCTCCTGTTGTGGGAGCACGCCCTTCTTGCCGACTACAACAACAACTCCAAGTTTTCCGATACCAGGATGATTCAGCCGAAGATCAGCCAAGGCTCCATGGAAGGCTACGACAAAATGGCGAGGACACGTCTGGCTATGTGGTGCCGCGGGCTTGTCGAAGTATCCTACAGGAGGCCCAACAGCGAAGGGCCAGACTCGCCCATCCGGGAAAGATTACTGGCATCAGAGCTGTCTTATGTTCATAAATCATTTCTAGACTTTTTGTCAACTGATGAGACAGAGGGGGAAATGGTTGATTCCCTTGCCGACTTTGACTCGGTTGATGCTTTCTCCTACCTCTTCCTGGGAATCTTGCGAAATCTTGACCCGAAGACACGCGTCGCCAGGACTTTCGGACGACACGCCCTAACGGCACTCAAATTGAGGCACGATGTTCATAAGCCAGGCGACCTTTCACCACCATTTCTCTATTTCCAAGAATTGGAAGAGACCTGGTCCCAATGGGGCGCACAGGGTCAATTTATGTCCGAAGATGTGGACGAACTACTAACATGCGCATTTTCTCAAGATAGAGTTGTATACATAGCATTTGCGATGAACAGCACTTCCCCCAAGACAAAACTAACCACCGAATGTTTTGTTCCTCTGGTATTGCCGATGATACACTTTATCGATTTCGATCATCCTTATATACCCTGGAAATTGCATCATGCAGCAAAATCAGACGGCGAATCGGAGCTTTCAGCACTCCTTATATACTCTGTTACGAATCCACTAAGATTCCCCGACGAACGAGATACATTGACATCAAGTCTATCTGGCTATTCACTACTGCAGAACATACTTGCCCAAACAATTTCCGCTCCCCTCTTAGAAACCCGTCTCTTTCCGCTGACAGACTACAACTTGATGTGGGCAACTTGCAAGAAGGCCCTCCCGATATGGGGCACTCTTGTGATCGGTTTGTTCATGTCTCATTTTTTCCAACGGATCATCAGAATCGTCGATGCGGCAGGCGACACGAATCACTTAGCGATTGCAAAATACAAGATGGCCCGAGAGAGATGGGTTGGAAACATCCTCAGGGTTTCAATGGCTTCGCCTGCGTTCGATGGACACTTTCAAGCATTCCCTCGTCCCCAAACATCTGAGGATTTTATGGAAGTCACATTTCAGTTGGGGAAGAATAGCTTGAAGGCCGTTTTGTGTGCTATCTTGCCCATACATTGGGATTCTGAGGACGCTAAGAGACTTCTTGAAACTGACGCAGGGCTGCCACGACATCTTCGAGACGTAATCCGTGAGCTGAGTCTCCCGAACGAGCAAGAGTTCCTCGACCGGCTTGATGCGTACACCATCTAGCAGCTGGGAAGCACACACCACGTCTCGTGAGAATAAAAGTGCCACTACTCAGCAGCAGTACTCGCTCAGATTGCCGCGAGAAACTTGTTGCAATATATGAATCTTGACCTCGTCTGGCTCAATGCTGTGCCTGCGTACTGCAAATACGTCTCCAAGTCTCATTGAAGGAGCTCCGACCAATCAGTGTGTTAGCGCACGCAACTCCATCTCTGCCTGAGACCCAAGCATACACTTGAGAAAAATAGCCACCGCGAGCTGTGGGCTCGATTGCTGAAATAACTATTCGGGCAAATCATTTACACCGTTCCGCCCGTCCCCTGCAGACGGGGTTTGTCATAGGCGGCGGCTTCATCCGTAGGCACGTCCGAGCGTAGGGAAGCCGTGGCAGATGTTGTGTGGACCCAGGCTCACGACCAAGGATTTGGGAAGGTTACGTTCAAGCTCATATAGACGACCCGATGCCCATCACTTGCTGTTGCCAAGAGTGAACCCATGGTGACACGTGCACAGGAAGCAAGGTATCGATTCTTTCATTTCTTCATCGGCCAGGCAAGCAGATTCGAACAGCGAGTACCACGTGCGACAAATGACTGGCATTGTCGCACCACTGCGTGTTGCCCCTGAGGGAAGGATTTCTGCCCAGCCCCGATGGAGGGGGAGAAAATGAAGGAGGCAGCGGGAAGAGCGATCCATGAACCGGTTTTCGTGTCGCTGGCTTGTGACCGTTCGAAAACAGAGATTGCCCCCGATGCAATAGGACTTGGGGAACAAGGGTGCCTGGCCTCCGTCGACAGGGGATCAAGCCCCTGTTGATAGCCTGGAACGCCAGGGTAGGCTTGGTAGGGTGCTTGGGGAGACGGGCCAAGCAGCGCCCGGGAGTCATTGGGTGGCGCTGGAGTGCCGGTGCGGTTGTTGTGTTTTGGGACGCTGCTGATTCTTCTTGTCTAAGAAAGTGCTGACGAATTGGTCATTTCGCGAGCAAAGTTGGCTGCAATCCAGATTGAAGGAGATTGTCATGCGAATGATATAATATTATCGCTATTATCAGAGCGCAGACGGAGATCTTTGAATAGCCGAATCTAGAACAATATTCAGACACGGATGCCGGTTTCTGTGTGAATGACTTCGGGATTTGACGATGCCAGAGCTCGCTAAGTCCTAAATAATACATCCAATCACGATTGCTTGCTGCTTTTACACGGCCATGCCAGGGCTGTGCGGGTGATCATGTCTACGGCCACCCATCTGCTCCATCTCGTAGCCTTCGCTCCGCGCACTGTCTCCGTCCCGCGCTGCATCGTAGTCGACGGTGATCTCCTTTGTGCGCGTAATGCCGCCCAGGACGCCAGAGCTGGGACTCGTACCGTGACGGCCGTCGAGGATACTCTTGTCGCTGTCGTCATCGAGACCAGACTCGCCCATGTGTTTGCTAACCGAGCCGCGGCGGTTTACAGTGCGGTTCGCCGTCACGACAACAGTGTTGTTGCCGATGCGAGACCTCTTTGTGTTGTCGTCGGTACCGTACGCGTAGTAGCCTCGGGCCGAAGATTTGAGGTCCTTGAAGAAGACGCGGAGAACGGGGATCGAGGCTGCGATGATGGCGACGACGTTCTCGACCTCAACCCAGATGATGACAAGTGAACCGTCGTCTGTTGTATCTAATCAGCTCCTGAAGACTTCATCTTGGGAACAAAAACGCGGGGATAGCTTATACTCACAGTTGAAGTTTGGCCCTCCGACAGAAGGAAGTACAGAGCACTTTATGAAGGCGATAACACCGGCGCTGAGGTAGATCGTCAGTTCCCGACAAGATATTCGACGGGCAGGGGGGCGTGGATCAGGCGACTCACAAGATGCCAAGACTCATGGCGATGCCCACTCCGAGCTTTTCCTTGAGGTTCAGTTGGAGCCCCCACAGGACTTGCCAAGGGAGGAGAGCCAGCACAATGTCCATGATTCCAGAGTAGGCTGAGGCATCGTCAGCTTGCCGCACACACAAGACTACTGAATATAATTTCGACTTACCAGAGGCGAAGATCATGTAATCGGCGTTGATCTTCGCATCCCAGCAGTGACCAGGCAGGTTTATCTTGTAGTTCTTCTGCACAGGGCTGCACCGAGCCCATGTTATGACGACCATGCCGGCGATGGACAGGTTGATGGTGATCATGATGAACCAGATGGCCCATTTCATGCGGCCCTCGACGACACGGAGCAGTGTCAAGGCAAACGATGTCTTGCTCCACGCGATGCCAAACATGGAGGCGTTGCCGCCCAAATTTCCCAGGAGACCGACCGTTTCGAATATGCTGAAGTCGAAATCCGGAGGAAAGGCTGTGAGCTTCTTGCCGAAGCCTAGAGAGACATTCTTGGTGTTGATGCCAACGCTAATAATGAGCATGGACTGAAGAGACAGCCATTAGCGGTGGTGTTCGAGAGGTAACCACTTTTCAAGGCAGAACTCACCCAGGCGCCGATGAGGAAGTAGTCGTCCCACCACAGTCCACGGTGTTTCCAGAATTTGGCGAATAGTCGTAGACCGAGGAAGATGGTAGCCAACGCAACGCAGGTCCACAACGAGGCGTTCATGACCGGGCCATAGTCATCAGGTTTGCCCATGATGGGTGATCCGTGGTCTCTGGGATGCCCCAGAGGTTCTACTCGCAGGCAAGTTTCCGGACAGGCAATCTAGGGTTGACGACCACTTTGGAATGCTGTCGCTTTGTGTCGAGGCTTCCGACGATCAGATGCTGGGCATTTGGGTGGCTCGGGCCAGTCAAGCCAGGGGAACCGTAGAGATCGACACTGTTATGTCCACAAGGCAGAAGGAAAAGGAGAGACAAACGCCAGTGATACGCAGATCGATGGGGATGGGATCGTGTTGATTAAAGCCTGCGCTGGGGTAGCGGGAAAGGATACTCGTCTTTCCACAGGTCAGGTAATGGCCTGCTGGATCTGGGGCGTGGGCCAAGGGTTGCGGAGGCAGGAAATGCAACCTGATCGTGAGGCACCCCTGCACGCAGGTAGGGATGGGGATAGTCCATCCGATGCAGGCTGTGACAAAGGTCAAAGGATTTATGACCAGCCAGTGGGATGTCCCCTGTCACAACCCCGAGTTAGGGCCCCTGAAGTGATACAAGGCTTGCCTCCCAGGCTCGGGGAAGAAATACTGCGAGCATTTTACGAGACGCAAAGACAGTTAGGCACCCTCAGCTTCTGTCGCTCTCGTCGAATGAGGAAAGGGTTGGGTTGCAATGCCATCAAATAGTCACACTCAACTCGCAGTAGAGTTTACGGGGTACTGTCACAGGCGGGCAGCTCGTAAAGGGGTCGCCGCAATGGCCAAGGACGGTTTCTACCGTTCAAGCGGCAGCCAGGGCTCGCTGTTCAAAGTTCCGGCCAAAATTACGATGGAAAGCTGCAGGTCAAAACCCCGACCAGCTGCAAGCGAGGCGTGTGGACAGGGGTTGCCACACATGCGGCCCATCGCGTGCGGCCGGAGGTCCTCAAAGTAAGGGCGACATGCCTGACGCAAGGGCATTTACTTGCCAGCCGAGAGTTTGCACAGCTAGTCACCTCCAAGTCAATTTGGGGCAGAATTGAAGCCGGCCAGAAACAGAAGTGATGGACAGTCTCCCGCGCCTCGAACACATCCGGTGCCACAGCTGAGACGTCAAGCTGATGAGGAAGGAAATGATCGCAACCACCACAAGCCATCTTTCGATCACAGCCTTGCCGAGATGTGCCTTTGGGCACAGACTGGGTTCGAGCCTAATCTCGTCCCGTGGTATGGTGGCAACGGCCGAGAAGATTGCCCCGCTGGATGAAGAAAAGGGGACGGGTAAGAAGACTACACCGAGCGGGGTGATCAGCCATGCGGGGGGAAGACGGGCAGAAATAGCGTGCGTGTTTGGTCTCATGCACGAGATCCAGGTTCGCTGAAGAAGTGACAAGATTACTGTACCGTGTAGATGTCAGCGGAACCGGCGGTGCTGCCGACCCCTGATGCCATGCTCGTCACGCCAGGCAAATGGCAGGGGTATGACTCTTGGCCCCTGCTGTCGTACTGGTAAAAAGCCTGAATCGCTGGGCGGGGGGAGCTGGAAGGGGATCAGCCTATGAACTTCTGCTTGAGCACATTCTCGAACAAGGGATTGCTGCTAGTGTGCGCTACGGTCGACCCGGCACCGGGGGCAAAAGTCCCGGATGCTTTGTCGAGTGCTCTGAGGCGTTTGTGGCGCGACGCAGCTTCCAAGGGTCCTTGAAGAAACGCGGCCTTCCTTCGTTGCCAGGCAGGGCGGCTTGGCTTCCTGGATGGATCGAAGACTGGCATTTCGGGTTCTGCTGTAGCTTCCGTGTGTTGTGCCGCATCCATGGCCCATGCTTTGAGGTCCAAGACACCACGAATCTCAAGGTTCCTTTGGTGAAGGCGGGATCCGCGCGGAGTTTGCCAGAGCAGTGGCTTACTTAGGCTTGGTGTTGACTCGCGGGCTCCTCGTCTCTACGGGCGTTATGGTCGCCCTCGTCTGTTCTCTATTCTATTCAAAGCCGCCAACCATGATTCGCCGGATAACGCCTGGTAATAGGTCATTGTACCTGTTTGAGGGTTTCCAAAGCTTGCAAGGTTACATGACGATCAATTTTCGATCCGAACCAAGCCTTGGGTTAGTTTAGATGGAAGGATGGTAACTCGGCGCTACCATCTGTGCGTCTGATCGTGTGAGCAATGGGGAGAGTGAACAACGCCAGAACACATTAAGTACCTAATGTTGATCAGGCACCCAATAGTGGCGGGTGCTTCGCACCACATAGGTATGCCTGACGCAAGCCCACAACACTTCACTATGCCTTGTCTTGTTTCTCACGGTATGCTGCGGCAGAGCTTCAACAGCAGCTTCTTCAAGTGCCGCCTCTCCCGGCCTGTTTGGGTGCAGTGACCCGGCAGGCAGCCCTAACGTCCCACTTGGCCTAGCTCCAACCCGGAAGTTCCGCGGAACTCAACAAGCTTCCAAGCTAGCTTTTTTTGAGGCAGGTCAAGGCGCTTTACGGAACATGATTTGAACGCTTGTCCCCCAGGAGGGGGCGCAGCGTACCTAAGTAAGAATAATCGGGAGCGATTTGGGGGGCTGCGCGTTAAGCGATCACAACTCCCTACATCCCACTACTCGCAACTATGCCGCACGCGCGAAACCACACGACCAGCGTCGTCTCAACTTCTTCTCCTCTCTGTAAACAGTCATGGTAGTTTTTGTCTTCAACTTTCAACACTGCGTGAAGCAACGGCAATCGCCATGTATTCTGCTTGGGAAGCATGAGACGGAAAACCCCGTCATATGTGCATGAGCTATTGCTCGATAGCTCGATTCAGCTTCAGGGATCCTTGAAAAGGTTCCAGAGTGTCCCCTACACATCATGCAGAAGCGAGCAAGGATGTATTCTTCAAGCGAGCGAGTCAACACCTCGCCCATCTGTGGCGTAACTTCAGCGACGACCTCGAGGCGAACAGGATTTCAGGGCATCTTTATGCCTCGTGTCTCGCTGTAGCGTGCTGCTTCCTGGTCGCTTACGTGACATTTGGGGACGTGCAGCAGAAAATTATCAGCACAAGCCTTATTGGCTCTTTGAAAGATTTTGACAGCTGCTTGGCTTCAGGGGAGGCTGCATCGTTTTTGGTGTTGCAGTGGTGCGACCCAGCTTCCCGGATCACGCAAACCTTATGCAGGCCCTTGTCCTGTAGTCTGACAAGCTGGGAAGGACATCCATCTCATCTCGAGGCCACAATTTCGGGCCTCAACTTCCCCTGCGATGGTTGCCTAAGGATAACGGAGTTCGTGGGATGTTCTACATGCGCATGTCTGTGTAGAGCCCAAGACTGTCAAACACAGACGAGACTGAGCCCGTCCTCGCATCATACTGCCACTCTTTCTTTTCTTTGACAGCACCTGTATACTGTCGGTGACATGTTGCAATCGGAAGCAAGTCATTGACTTTGATCTTTGGTCTGCGATACGAGCATACCATTGGTGACAGATAGTGTGATTCGTACAAGCTGTGTTTCGGAGGCAATACGAAGGTCGGTAGGTTCGCTGTTGTGGCTCTTCTGGCCGACATCAACACGGCGATTTTTCCGTTCGTACCACATTTGCTACCACGAGCGGGCTGTTACCTTCCCGAGGGGCAAACAAGGGCTGTTCGTCATCTACCACACATCCAGAGCACAAGTCACTAAGTCGCGGCGTGCGATATGGGTTCTGCATATACAAAACGAATGTGTCTCTCGATGATGTCCTTTTCCGACCGTCTGTTGTTAAAAGGGAGTGTCGTACCGCGGCAAGAACGTGATATCACCGTCTAATTTGGGCTCTTTCCCTAACTCTAGCCGTCATGGAGTCCATCTTGGTCCTTTTGTTCGCCGTCTGCAACTCGCATGGACTGCCAAGTCTTCTCGAAGAGCTACCGGGATTCACTCAGCAGAACGGGTTTATCAAGCTACTGTTGCAAACCCGGCATGCAACCAAGAGTGGCGGAGAAGTTGAACATGAAGGGAAGCTTTCACTTCCCCCTCCGGTCAATACCTTCAACCTACAGCCTGGGGATCCCGACCACATGGTCAGGCGTACATATACCTGTAACATTCCCAGAGAGAGGGATCATCAACTAATCTATGTGCAGTCCCCATTGGGCTACCCGCGCAGGAATCATGGCTCTTCGTCGACGTCACGTCTGATATCATATGGGCTAGCCCTCTTTGCTCCGTGCATCGTATGTTTGGCCACGAAGACAACGTCAGCGACAATTGCACAACTGAAATCTCTGGATTGTACAACCCGGCTGCATCCGAATCAATGCTCAACACTTCTCTCAGCTTCAGCTTGTTCGAAACTCCTGCTAAGATTTTCGGCACAGCGATCAATGAGATGATTGTGTTTGCCGGTGCGTTCACAGCCTCATATTCCCATGAGAATCATCTCACTTAAGAATAGGATACTCATATGACGTTCTTCTTTGCCTGAACCAGAACATGTACTATGAACAGTCCCCCGTCGGTGTCTTTGGACTCGGGCAGGAGATTCCTGGTGTTTTTAGACTCGGTCTCTTGGACAGGCTCGTTCAGACTGGTCAAATTGACAGCCGGTCGTTTAGCCTTTCACTGACCCACGAAAGCTCGCGAGACCCGGGACTGGTAATCGAAGGCAAGTTCACGAAATTTCGGTTGGAGATGCAGGGAACGTAAATATCTCATTGGTCACGCAGGTTCTCTCACCCTCGGTGGCATAGATGTCGGAAAGTACTACGGGCCCATGAACCATGTCCGTCTTCTTGAAGACCCAACGCACCAACATTCCACATCGTACGCCTTCACTAGCTCTAGTCTTGGAGCCGCACTGATTCGATCATGGTCACAGATACTGTGTTTCTCTGGCCAAGCTTCAGATTCTTGTTTCGGACTCAGATTCCATGGTGGCTCTTGCCAACGACGATCGTCCGGCGTGTTTCAATACCAGAAACAGACTGACGCGGTTTCCTGCCGAGGCCTTCGATGTCATCCTTGGTATTTTTGACCCGTATTCCCTGCCGAAAGCAGGACGTGATGGAGAGGTTCTCTACAGCTTGCCGTGCAGCTTTGATGGAGCCGAGTATATCCGGTTTGGCTTCGGTGGTGCGGGTGACTTTTCAGCTTTTGATATTGACGTCGCCATTGAGGATCTAATCTTGGACCCTGTCACAGATGCTGAATCCCAAGGCGCATGCCTTCTGGGGATTTCTCGAGGAGATGCAGGTACAGACTTCATTCTCGGAGAGACGTTTCTTGCTGCCGTCACAGGTATCAAATTCTCCCCTCCGAGCTATGGCTAGAATGCAGACTAAGGAACAGCAGCCGTGTTTGACGTCGATACGAAGGCTATTTACCTTGCGCCCTATGCTGACTGCGGCACTGACCTGGTTGCTTGGGGACCGGACACCATCGACGAGTGGGCTCATGGTTCGTGTGAACATCCTCTAGATGATCCAACAGACTGGCAGCCTGCTGAATTTGGCTCCTTGACTGCCTCGCCATCGGACGTTGCTATTCCTACCATTGCTCTGCCCAGCATAGCCGTTTCTTCCGAAGATTCTTGGAATGCCTTGTCTGATGCGATTTACGACTTTTCGTCAACCAGCTCTGGCTTTTTGAAGACTTCTGTTTCACATGATAACTTGACCACCACAATCACTGTCCGAAGAACCAGGAGCATTACTGTCAGCGAAGCCCCCGATTCAAGTACCGAGGATCCCTATCTGCGAGCGACAGCATCAAGCCCAGATTGCGAATCCTTCTCCATGATCATTGATAGCATATCTCGTCCAGGTGAGACGCTACCTTCTGCCGTCGACTCTTGGTCCGTTGGTTCTCAGACGTCGTCTGCGACGTTCTTTCATGCGGAGCCTTCACTCCTTGTTCCCCCCATCCTGCAAGACTCCGAGGTGGCGTTTGAGACGAACGCGCCTGGAATTATTCGCACAGGACTAGTCATTGCAAGTTCGTCGGCAAATTTGGCAGGCCCTGGAGCTGGTGGAGACAAGAACAGCAGATCGAGACCGGACGTCTCTCCAGCTGTGGGGGAGGAAGAATTCCGCTGAAGCAGGTTGTGTGAGGCCGATCGGGGAAGTCAGTCCGAAACGGGTGATCTCGGAGTCCCTTGAATTACGGCGTTCTCTTCACCTGGCCTACGGACGCAACATCCGAAGTCAGTAGGCCACCGAGTGACGTGGGTTCTTTGTGGCAGACAAATCATGTTTGGGAGTGGCGGTGCCGGACATTGCTCCGGGGACAGGGGAAACCTTCCCTTGCTGACCTGTGAAAACGTCTTTGTAGAGACACTTCGCGTCTTTATCTTAAGCTGGTTTCGTATCCAAACGTCTGTCGCGTGATGTCAAAGTGGAGCCTGAATCCTGATTTCTTGATCGCACGTGCGGCGCAATGAATGTGTGTGGCGATGAAGTCATGCAAGACCAAGACTGGCGGCTCCAGGCGGTATGGCACCCATGCCGGACCTTTATTGCGCTCAGTGGTTCCGGGTGCTCCTCTGATGGTCACTTTGCTGGCCGTCGAGGTCGGCATTGTGACCCCAACGCCGTTCTTGATTGGTGATCTGGGCTTGGAGGGCAGCCGTTGAGGAAGAATGTGCCGTAGAGGTCTCATGATTCCTTGCATCCCGACCTATCTCGTATGGGTGTGGGACTTCGAGACTGGCGACTGCTGCCCACGAGGATAGGCGGAACGTACCATATGTATGTTATATTGCAATTTCTTTGACAAGATGCGGATCCGTACAGATTTAGACTCCAGAACCTTGTTCCAGGTCATCTATCAGATTGCATTTCCGGATCAGCCACTCCTCTCCGGGTATCTGAACTCAGCGCCAGGGTGGTTGTGCCAACACGATCCTCCTGTAATGTCGGAGCATTCTCTCCAGCCGTGCAGCTCCTTTCCCTGACAGCCTCAAGCTGAACCCAACGATTGCGTCGGGACGTACGTCCTGGAATCCCTTCCTGAGACGGCGGGTGACGACGCTGGTCGCAAAGACCAATTGTAAAGTAAGGTCACAGCTGGGTTGCTATGCGGTACTTAATCCTCGGCCGCCGTCCCAGACGTCGCGATGCACGGGGATAGCTAGATACGCATGATCTTAGAGTCTCTTTCAAGAAGAGCTGCACTATCCGATCTAATCCGCTACAACACCATCCGTAAAGTTCTCGCACGTCGATTGCCGACCGCCGACCGTCCAGCATGTCTCTTGCATCCAGAGTCGCTCCCAGGATCGTATCCTCCCAACGAACAGGCGCCTTCCTGCGACGATCGAAAGCGTGTCATGCACCATTCTGCCAAGCCGGCGGCAAAAGAGCGTTCCAGCAGCACGCCGCCCAAGAACTCGCAAAACCCATGAACCCCGAGCCCAGACACAACCCGACCCACGACCAGCCGCCCAAAGACTTCAACGTCGGCCAAAAGACGTTTGCCGACTTTGACCTCAAAGAAAGGGTCTTCATCGTCACGGGCGGATCAAGCGGGCTCGGTCTGGAGCTGGCAGAGGCCGTCAGGGAAGCCGGAGGCATAGGTCCGTGAGCCCGTTACAGCCCGTCCCCCCCAACGGATGACCGCCCACACAATGCTGACACTGCTGTCAAACGTCACAGTCTACTGCCTAGACGTATGTCCGGAGCCCAGCGCCGAGTTTATTGAAGCCCAGAAACGCAGCAGCACGCCGAGCCCGAGCGCCGGCTCGCTGACGTATCGACAGCAAGACGTCGCCGACACGGAGGGCCTCGACCGGCAGATCGCATCCATCGCCTCGACGCACGCGCGGCTCGACGGCGTCGTGGCGGCGGCGGGGATCCAGCAGATCACGCCGGCGGCCGAGTACACGATCGAGGACCTCAACCGCATCATGGCGGTCAACTACGCAGGCGTCTTCATGACGGCGACGGCGGCGGCGCGGCAGATGTTCAAGCACAAGTGCCACGGCAGCATGGTCTTCATCGCCAGCATGTCCGGGTCCGTCGCCAACAAGGGGCTCATCTCGCCGGCGTACAACTCGTCCAAGGCCGCCGTGCTGCAGCTCGCGCGCAACCTCGCCATGGAGTGGAGCCCGACGAGGGAGGACGGCAGCGGCGGCATACGCGTCAACTGCATCAGCCCCGGCCACATCTTGACGCCCATGGTGCTGAAGAACTTTGAGGAGGTCCCGGGCCTCAGGGAGAAGTGGGAGTCGGAGAACATGATGGGCCGCCTGGCGGAGACGCGCGAGTTTAAGGGGGCTGCCCTGTTCCTGCTCAGCAACGCGAGCAGCTTCATGACGGGCAGCAACCTCATCATGGATGGAGGTCACACGGCGTGGTGATAGGGGTGGCTCGAAGGACCATTGGGAAATGCGTTCCAGTCGCGTTGCTGGCCATCGTAGGCGGTGCACCTCAAACTGAGAGTCGGACGAGTTGTATCGAGCATGTGTTCAGGATAGAATGAAGCAGACAGCCAAGCCATTGCACTTCATATTTCATCATTAAAAGCCAATGTCAGGGGCCTACCCACATGCCAGATCATCACAAGCCGTGCCACAAGCGTGACATTTCCTCCTGTGATATGAACTTCAATGCGCTACATGTGGAAAGAAGTGTTGACGGAAAGGTGGTTGGCGATGAGTTCTTGCGAACGCGTTTTACCATCCGCTACTTAGAAGTCTTTCTATACTGTGCAAATTCCTAGCCTCTACCTCCGCACCTGTTTGTTTCTCCACTGATAACTTATATCCTCCCTCCAGCAGGCCCGCTTTCAACAACCTTACCGGCATCTAATCTTATGAACCAGTCTGCACCCTCCACGGCCTCAAGCCGGTGCGCAATCGTCACGACCGTGCTACCCTTGAGCTCTCCCTTGAGCACCTTTTGTACCTGCGCCGCCGTCTCGCGGTCGATGCTCGCCGTTGCCTCATCCAGCACCACGAGCGGACTCCTCCGCAACACCGCTCTGCCGATTCCCACGAGCTGCCTCTGTCCCTGACTCAGGTTCTTTCCACCACCCTCAACACGCGACTTGATGGTCCAGTCCCCGCCGAGCACACGCGCCAGGACACTGGCGCACTCGCCGTCGGAGAACTGACTGAGAGGGTCAAGGTTATCGCGCAGCGTGCCGGGGAAGAGGACCGGATCCTGGGCCACGAAGGAGATGCGCTGGCGCCAGGCGTGGACGTCGAGATCGGACAGATTATAATCGCCGATCATAATGGTGCCTTCTGTCGGATGCATGGTTGCCAAGAGGGCCAGCGCGAGAGTGCTCTTGCCGGAGCCTGTGCGACCTAATACGGCACAGGTCGAGCCACCGGGAATCGTGAAAGAGGCATTGATGAGGGAGGGATCGAGGTGAGGGGCATATTTGAGTGTGACGTTGTTAAAGGTGATGGCGTCTTCGGCAGCTGGCCAAACGGCAGGTGGCGTGGTGGTGCCGCAGGGTTCGGAGGGGATAGAGAGCAGCTCAATTACCCGCTCGACAGAGACGAAGTCCATTTGCAGAGTACCGTACTGTCTGCATAGATTGTGGGTGGCCTCGACGAATTGTGAAGCCGTCGTAAGGACGAATGCTGTCAGACTCGGGGAGAAGCCCTTTTGCAACGCGACTATGGTGAGAGCAAATGTTGAAACTGCCGACAAGGCGTCAAAACGATACATGAGCCAGGACTGTAAACTCCAATAGAAGTGATCCATCTTCTGGAAAGCATCGACGACCACAATATTCTTGTGCTGAAAATGGGGCTGCGCGTTGAAGGCGCGAATCGTGCCCAGGCCATCCAGGAGAATGCCAAAGTTGGACATGAGGGGGCTCAGCGACACCATTTCCAGCCTGCGCAAGCTTTGCGACGTCGGTAAGAAGCACAGGAAGATGTACACAAACCAGGCAGACACCCCAAGAGAGAAAGCAAGGAAGAGCGGAGTCAGAGATGCAATGACGCCCATGCTCGAGATCCACGAGATGGCGAACCAGGCGGTCAGCTGCAGAGGGCCCATGATGCCACCGTCTATCATGCCGATATCCGACACGAGGCGATTCATCAGGCGGCCAACGGGTGTGACGTCGTAGAATCGGAAAGTTGCGTTGCTGACCTTGTCGATGACTCGAATGAACAGGCTCTTGGCCGCCCTGTAGATCATGAAAAGGCTGAGTCCCTCGGAGAGAACGTAGACTATTGTTTGTACCAGCGCAAGGCAAAGGTAGGCAAGGATCCAAAGCTGAATGCCGTCATTGGGATTCGGGAGCCAAGAGAAGGCTAGATCCAAAAGTCGCGAGAGGAACGAATCTGAAGGCGCTCTTGCGATCGTGGTATCAGACGCTTCGGTCCAAGATTTGAGGAACCAGGCCGTCAGATAGGTTGCCACTCGATACAAGGCAAAGACAATGACAAGAGTGGCCCAGTTTCTCAGAGCTCCCGCCTTGATGTATTCCCAGTAGACGGAGAACATGACACCGCCATCATTGCGGTGTTCTTCTTCGATGAACTTTTCCGGGATCGCCTCTGTTTGCGAGTTGTCGTCGGTCATCTGGGGCTCTTCATCGTGTGCGGCCGCATGTCTCTCTTCGCTGCGCATGAACTTTGCTGCCTCGACCGACGCCTCTTTTGGCCCCAGCACTCGGGCCGTTCCCCCTTCAACCTCGATCATCAGGTCCGCAAGGTGTAGGCATAGATCGACCCTGTGCGTAACGAGCACGATGGTGCGACCCTTCACAAGGGGTCCCTGCAGAAGTTTTCGTACAATCGACTCAGCCGTTTGATGATCAAGGGCAGCCAGGGGATCATCGAGGAGCAGGACCTGCGATTGGCTGTAGACAGCGCGTGCGAGGGCAATCCGTGCTCGCTGCCCACCTGATAGACCGATACCGTTCTCGCCCATGTCCGACAGGTCGCCGTCTTTGAACTCGCGAAGATCGGGCAACAGCTCGCAGGCGTCAAGAACCTGCCTGTAGCGAGCAGCTTCATAGTGCGCTGAGAAAAGAATGTTTTCCCTGATATTCATGTGTTGAAGCCATGGAAGTTGTGCGCAGTATCCGATCATGTCATTTGGAATGACAAAGTCGCCAGACACCCAGTCTAACTCTCCCAATATCGCCTGTAAAATAGCGGTCTTGCCGGAGCCGACTCTGCCGAACACGACAGTCAGACCCTGCGGTATGTCAAAGTTGAGGTCCCGCAATACCGGTGTGTCAGTACCAGGCCAGGCAAAGGAGGCTATTTTGAAGTCGATCTCGTTTGTTTTGCTGTCGCAGGACCCCTCATCCTTATCTGGCTCTTCCATGAATTGTTCAATACGGCCCACGGCAATCGAAGCGTTTAGGAGGACCTGGATCAGACCAGGAATCTCTCTGAAGTTGGACTGCAGCATGGTGAAGAGTTGTAGGGCGGGGAACGCAATGCCCACTGTGAGCGGCTTCTTGGCCAACACCGTGTAAGCGAAGAAGGTGGCAACAGGGAACAAAGCACCTGAAGCAATATTGAGAGTTGAAATCCCAATGATCCAAAGTCTCGTGGTAACCATACGGGCGAGTTCGCGCTGCCTCGTGTCCATGATCCGATCCACCCACTTTGACTGCCAGTCATACCATCGCAAGTGGCGGATTCCCTCGACGAACTGGCTTGTTGCTTGCAGGCGTTCGTCCACAGCCACTCGCCGGACGCGCTCGTTTTGGAAGACCTTGCGGATGAAGAAGGCGTTGAGGAGCTGAGCAACCAGGATGCAGGCAATGCCTACAAGACATGGCCAACCAACAAGCTGCCACACCAAGACCAGTGACACGATGAATTGAAGGGGTTTGACGATGAGCTGCGGAAAGTCCCAAAATCGCTGTGCAACTTCATACACGTCGCTCTTCATGAGATTCAATATCTTGCCCGTCGTGGCTGGTTGCTTCGTCTTTTCCGGCTCAGCGACGATCTTCTGGTAGCCTGGCTTTCCTCGCCGGAGGCGTAGAAATGACAGGAGGCCAGTCCAACGGCTCTTCGCGTGCTGCTCCTCGCCATTGGCATCATCATCCTGGCAAGCTTCTGTATCAACAACGTCCGATTCTTCCAGTTCGGCGACGTCCTTTTCCGGGAGTCCCTGACCAACCGACTTTCTGGTGAGGGTTTTGGCGTATATTGTCGTGATCATCTCTCCACGCGAGCGCTCATAGCACCGCCTCGAGAACCAGAGTGAAAAGACAGAGGATTGACATGCAACCAAGCGAACGCATAGGATTGCGGCGGCAAACATGATAGGCGTCGTCCTTTGGTCATCGTCGAGCTCCATGGACTCGAGTAGCTTTTTCAAAAGCAAGGGCATGGAAAGGTTGGCTGCCGACTCCAGTATGGCAAGGACAGAGATGATGAGGAGGTCCAAGCCGTTAGCCTGCAGGAGCCTCCTGACGATTGAGCCCTGAAGGTCCCGGAATAGCGTATGCAGCTTGTCGTGTTGGAAATCAAATGGCAGCTGCCATATGTCCTCGTCGTTCAGTTTTCGTTGCTTGCCTCGGCTGATGAGAGGGGCCATCCAGGAGACCGTCATGAATTTCCACAGCGTGAGGTTATCTTCGGGACTGCGGAGGGTATGCGTCGGGTCCTTGTGACCGATACCGTCGGTCAAGAGGCTGGGGTCGCGCATAGGCATGGCGAGAATGCCGGAAGTGGAGGCTAGACTGACGGCAAAGTTGACAAAGTAGGGCCATGAACTCGACTTGAAGTGAAACTGAAGTGTCGCAAACGGGATGATGCTGCAAACCAAGATGACCAGGTAAAGAGCGAGCAGCGTAGTAGGTGTCTTGACGGGCCGTCTCCAAGCAGTGATGAGACCGGCGGCCATCCACGGCGCGAGTTCCAGGATGCGCGGGAGGCTGTGTCGTCCCAGAATGACGGACGCTACGCTCGAAGCGAAGCCGGCGACTGCCATCATCGCAAGATAAAGCGTCCAACGCGTCCACAAAGTCTTGCGACTCACGGCGTACTCATCCTGCTCGCGGGCAAATGGCCGACACCATCGCGGGCGGCTAGGAACGAAAGGGCGGAGAGCGACGGCCACGAGAAGGATGACCGAGATCGCAGCTTGTGCGAGAGCGAGGTTGTCCGCATCCATGAGGGGCTTGGACAAAACTCCTGTCAATAGCGGGCCAGGGTGAGGCACGATGCGGGACGAAGAGAGAATCTGCTGACTGGCGGCCGTCTCATAAGACAAGTGTCGAGAATGCAAGGCGCCCATGCCTCGCAAGGTCTCTGGCGCTGCCATTGATGCAGCCATGTCATCAAGGTTGGATAAAGGCGGTTCAAACTTTTTCAGCCATTGATCAATGTGAGTGCTTGGAAGGAGGTTCGTTCACTGCACTGGGCCCTCAAGGTCATGGCCGCGGGGTTGGAGGCGTCGATCATCCGAGGGCGGAAGACGGGGGAACGCGTTCACCGCCTTCCCGAATCAAGTCCGCGGCCTCCCACGTGCTGTGAAGGGTGTGGAGAAACATCACGGCCATTGCCCAAGAGCCAAGAATTGAGGTTTGTTGGAGGGGAATAACCATAGGCAATACACTCGCTGGGAGTGTCTCGGGATATGGAGAGGATGAAGTTGGTGATACAAGGAGAAGGAGCCTCACGGCAAACGGGTCAGGTGTCCGTGGCGGAGAAGCACAAGGCAAGAGACAGGCCTGGACTCGGGGGTTTTGAGGCTGGTGTCCACCAACTGAGGCTCAGCAAGGCTTTTACAGCGCTTCGTCGGATAGAGCGTAACAGTATTCGATAGGGGCTTTATCATGCTATCCGATTTACTCCATGACAAAGTCTTGCTTCATCTCACAGCATCGCCCCCTTTCAATCTCGCCTCAGCACGAAATCAAGGAGGCTGTGCCTCATGCTGAGCCATGCCCAGTGTCTATTCAGAGGAAGTTTTACCGGCAGAGCAAGCAGAGCCAAGTTGCCCTTTGTGTGCACACCGACTTTTCCCAATGCATGTACTTTCCGGTGATCGAAATAAAGCACGAAGACTTCCGTTTCAAGACGGATTCCACAAGCGCGACTGTCCTGTCCCATGCACTGGACTTTAGACTTTCCAGGGGTCTTCAGGGCTGTCTCAGCCTGGTGTACACGTGGCTCAGGCGGCGAGGCCCCCGTACAGTCTCTGTTGTGTCGGATGCATTGCCCAACAGCGCGCAAGCACAACGGCTGCAACGGCCTGGCGTCAAGCCACCTTTCAGGACGGGTCGTGAACAGAGCAGAGCAGAGCAGAGCAGAGCAGAGCAGCACGCATTCGCCCGGTCGGGTCTCCGAGGTTGCGAGGCCCGGCTTCTTCCTTACTTCGGCATCAGCGTGACAAAACGGCTTAGTGCACCCCGCGCCGTCCAAAAGCCCAGGCTCGGACGGTGCCCGATCTCCGAATCAGCCCGACATGCTGGATCGGCAGCCGGCGTTGGTGATGCAATGCACACATGACCGAGGCATGTATTGCCGGTGCCAATGGACAACAATGTCTCGCCGTCAGGGACGGCACTGGGTGTCCATGACCATGGCGCAAGACGTGCGGCCGCTGTGGCGGGTATCGGTGTGAAAGAGCATGTGCAGCGTGCCGTCGCTACCTTCTCTTGCCAACTGGCCTTGTTCAGTGTGGTCTGTTCTATGGAAAGCAGCTGCTGTGGCTGAGATGATGGTCAGACGCTGATTCGGATTGCCCATTCTCAGCCCTCAAGGTGTCATCTACAGGTGTCTCTACCTAAGGCCTAAGGTACCTAGGTACCTGGGTAGTCGGGGCTTGGGCACCAAGATGATACACGACTTTCCGAGAGAAGGAATGATCATGATGAGAACAGCGAGCCCTCAAGGTTCACCTGGGCCCGCTTGCCTGACTACCTACCTTACCTACATGGTAGATACATCACTACAGGTAGGTACTCCATGTAGTGGTCAATGTGACGAAGCTCGTGTGGCAAGCACCGTCGAATGATGGGTCCCATTCGGCAGCGACGACCCCCTTGGCCGGCTGTTCCTGTATTTCTCGACTCTGTGGGGGCCATGTGCAGGCCATCGAGCAGGCACCTAGCAGGCACCTAGCAGGCCCACCTCAGCCGCTAAGGCGTTCGACAGAGTCTGGGGAAGAAGGCTGTACCGAGCCAAGTGAGCATCTGGCCAACCGGGTGCGCCTGCTTCCGGCATCTCGTGGCACTAATCTGGGCCCCGGGTGGCCCTTCCACTCTTCCACTCGTGTCAGTCACGACCACCCGCCGAATTTTCGTGCGCCGGTAAGATTGGCAGGTGGTACCTGCCGCGCCTGTGGTGGGCGCAAGAGTACTTGACATGATGTTGACCCACGCCTCTTGTCATCAGTCCGTCTGTGACTGTTTCGATCTTTGACTTCCTCTCCACCCCTCCATTCAACTGGACAGCCATCTCACGACGTCTCCGAGTGCCTGCTGTGCCAACGAGTACCTGATCGTATCATCTCGAGCCCTCAATCGCACCACGACACGCCACCCGTTGAAACACGAACTAGGATCGCATCGACGAGCCTGCCGCCACCATGAACTGCCCTTCACGCAACGACGGCCTCACCATCAGCCATCCCAACTGGAACCAGAGCCCCCCTTACCTCGCCGCAGATCTCACCACCTGTGAGGATCTCAACGGCAAAGCCAACGCCCGTGAGCGCCGTGACGACGCCAGCGGAGGTGGAGGAGGGAACGGTGGGCCTGCCTCTGAACTCGACGCCGACAATCACTTCACCCATCCGCGCTGCATGCCCGCCGACCAGGCCACCGCGGGCCCCGATGCCCGCTCCGGACGATGCGTCGGCATCGTTGCCGACCATCTCCGGATGAAGGACGTGCTTGGTGGTGAAGACCAACCACGTTCCCACGCCGTGATCCATCATCAGGCTGCTTCTCCCGCAAGGAGCGCCTGGGGCTGGATTACATGGACAGCCTCTGTCCTGGCGTGTTCCCTCATCCTCTCGAACCTCCGCACCTCAGGAATCCCCTTTCTCTCGTCTCCATCTGCCTCTTCGTCGTCGCTCTCTGGCCTCTCGCCTCCTCACGCATCGCCTGCCGCTCAGTGCGCCCCGGTCTCCCCCGTCTCCCCCGTCTCCCCCGTCATGGCCCGCCCCATGACCAGGCGCGACAGTACCTGCGGCGGTGGCGGCGCCAACATCCACGAGTACGATCTGCCTCTTCACGTCGGCGCCCTCTTCATCATTCTCGCCGTCAGCTTCCTCGCTTGTGCTTTCCCCATCATCGCCAAAAAGGTCCAATGGATGCGCATCCCGCCCAACTTCTTCTTCGCCGTCCGTCACTTTGGTACTGGCGTGCTCATCGCCACCGCCTTCGTCCACCTGCTGCCCACGGCTTTTGGTCTGCTGGGTGATCCCTGCCTGTCGAGCTTCTGGACAAGTGATTACCCTGCCATGCCTGGCGCCATTGCACTCGCCGCTGTCTTTTTCGTCGCCATTATTGAGATGGTCTTCCAGCCCGCTCGCCACATCATCCCCGATGGTCCTGTGCGTCGCGAGGTGACCAGCTCCAACTCGGACGACGATGGAGACGACACCGACGTCGTTCCTCCCGTCGTCAATGGTCACCGACGCGGCACTTCGAACAGCCTCGGCCGCCAGCTCTCCCGCATCAGCCAGACTGCCGACATAACCACTGCGCCCATCCAGCCCCCGGTGACGCCGAACAAGGCGGCCCGCGCCATCGAGGACGCCCTGCCGCTCACATCGTCCCATGTTCTCACTCCAGCCCAGCAACACCAGAAGGCCATTCTCCAGTGCATGATGCTTGAGGTCGGCATTCTCTTTCACAGCATCTTCATCGGCATGACCCTCGCCGTCTCGGTTGGCTCCGACTTTGTCATCCTCACCATTGCCATTGCCTTCCACCAAACCTTCGAAGGTCTCGCTCTCGGCTCGCGTATCGGTGCCATCGACTGGCACGAAGGTGCTCTGCAGCCGTGGCTCATGGCTCTTGCCTACGGCTGCACCACGCCGCTCGGCCAGGCCATCGGCATCGCCACGCACACGCTGTACGACCCCAGCTCGGAGTTTGGCCTCGTGCTCGTCGGCACCATGAACGCCATCAGCTCTGGTCTGCTCGTCTTTGCGAGCCTTGTCGAGCTGCTGAGTGAGGATTTCCTGAGCGATGAGAGCTGGAAGGTGCTTCGTGGTGGGCGCAGGATTGTCGCTTGCGTGCTGGTGTTCCTAGGCGCCTTCGGCATGAGCGTCGTCGGCGCTTGGGCTTAGGCTGACGAGTGTTCGCCGTATCAGAGGGGAGAGAAGCCTGAAGGTAGTGTGAGAGGCGGAGAGTGAGGGTCGACAGGAGCAGAAGAGGCCAAGAGTTTGGTTGAGGATGCGAAGTGAGAGTGCAGGGGTGCAAGGGTGCAAGGGAGAGTGGACGATGTGAGGACGAGGAGGGTGATGACAAGAGCAAGAGGAGGACCGGGCGGAGAGGGGACCGGTGAGGCGAAGTTCGATGAGAGTGCAATGGCTTGCAAAGTTTGCTGCACATTGAAGACGACATGCGCGGGCGCATGGAATTGGCGCACTTTAGCTGCTTCGTCCATTCATTTCAGGATACTCCAACCATGGAAGCATCACCTACGTACACTGGCCCGGCGCCATAGTTTAGTGCAATGAAAGAAGTTGGCACAATGCCCTCGACCCCGATCTTTTTGTGAAGAGAAGCCCCAAGGTAGCAGTTGAAAGTGGCCTGGTGAAGAATCAGGTTTGCGCGCCTTGAATACCATGTCTACCGCGACGAAAAAAACGCCAACAAATCTAAATATCCCCCAAACGCCCCCATCTCGCGCAACTCCCAGGCAACAACACGTGGATAGGCTTCTCACGCAACAAAGGTACAGTCGTCAGAGCTCGTTCCCAGCCCACTATCACGGCTTCGAGGCCCTCCAGCGCCAACGTCGGCTGCCGTGTCCCAAGACCGCATGCGCTCCCTTGTCCCAAGCCCGTAGGGGATCCCCTCTCTCCAAGCCATCATCTCCTCCCTGAGCCTCGCCTCGCTTTCGTGCCTCGCCCTCTCCTGCATCAGCCTCCGTGACAGCGCCTCCTCCATCGGACTCAGCGGCGCAAGATTGTGCCCCGTTCGCGCCCGCCGCTGCCGCTGCTGACTCTCCGCGGCAGACGACACCAGCCGATCCCGCAAGGGAGCACCGTGTCCATCACAGCAGCTGCGCCCGGCGACCCTCTGGCCCGGACACCCAGGGCACTGACAGGCGTGCAGCAGCGGGCAGTACAGCGAGTCGACGGCGCGCGGGCCCCGGCACGCGGCGACCAGACACTCGTGGCCCTGGCAGTACCGCGCCCCCTCGGCGGCCGCGACGACGGGCTCCCCGCACAGCGGCTTCTCGCACGCGTGCGCCTCGCAGAAGACGCCGCCGCCGTCGGCCGTCGTGTCCAGCCGCCCGCCGCGGCAGTCGACGCGCAGACACTCGTGGGCGGCGCAGAAGACCTGCTGCTGCGGCTCTGCTGCGCCGTCGAGGACCGCCGTGCACCCGCCACGACGGCAGGCACGGGGCGCGTGCTCGGCGCAGACGGCATCGCGGGTGCCACCGCTGCTGCTGCTGCTGATGTGCGGCAGGACGGCGCGCGGGCGTGTGCAGCCCGTGACGCGGCATGGCGTGTGGGACCGACACCAGGCGCCGGCGGCGATGACGGCGTCGCAGTCCGGCGCGGCGCAGCTGTGCGCGGCACAAAACAGGCCCGTCGCGGACCGCGGGTCGGGGCAGTCGGGGATCAGGCAGCGCGGGGTGTGCGGGGCGCACATGTGCGAGTCGGGCGCGCGCTTCAGGTAGCAGCCGTCGAGGAGGCAGGTATCTTTTTTTCTTCTTGTTTTAGTTAACTTGTCAGGGAGGGAAGGTGGCACACATCTCAGCGTGGGAAGGGGTAGGCCTACGTCTCAGACAGTATGCCCATGTTTCGTTCCTGTCGGCTGCTTTACGGGGACGGCTGCAGTTCTGGGCCCGGCAGCGGGTGTCTGTGATGATGGGTCAGCTGCTGGTGCTGGTGCTGCTGACGGGGCTTGGCCTGTCTGGACGTGCGGTCTTCGCAGTAGCGAGTCTCTCCGGCTTGCTTGTGGTTGGGACACATGACGTTACCGGCGCGGTGGCGGCAGGCGTCTCGAGAATGGTTTAGCAGAAATCAAGCTGACGGCGCTGGCCAGACGTACGGTCCTTGCAGTAGAACGAGTAGAAGGTGATGCCCCGCTCGTGGGATTCGCACCTCAACGCCTTGCGATTGCAGCCCAGCCGCGCGCAGGGCGTGCGTGGGAAGACGGAGGGCGGGCGCTGCTTGCGACGGCAGTGGAAGAACATGTTGAAGCACGGGGAATGAGGAGTCGGAAATGAGAGGGCGTGATGGGGATGCGAATGGCAGATGAGTAGTCGGTGAACTGATGGCCCAGGCTTCAGTGCTGATATAGGTCACGGTTGACAAAGACATTGAGGCTCATGACAGAGTCGCACATGTCGGGATGACCGGCATGGAGGGTGCATGAGGACTTGTCTCGGGCATCTACATATGGTTCGCACGTCTCGTCTGCAAGGAGGACTGCAAGGAGGGCTGCAGATGAGGGCTACCATGAGTACGGCTTCTTTTCTAGCGAAGGACGCTGGGATCTGCAGCACTTTAACATCAGACCGAGACGGGGAGTCTTGCGAGCAGGAGAATCTCAAAGTTCGCACTCATATCATCACAGTCGATGCCTGTACCTCAACGGACATCTAACCATTCTGGCCTCTCAACCAACAGGCGAGTGGGTGTGGCCTGCTGATATGATAGCCTAGAGCTCAGATGAAACGACCCTTTGTTGAATGTCTCGTAATCTGTTCGGTGCTGCAGTAGCCGCTTGTTCTCGTGTTGATGACCCTGGCCTTGCTTACTTGTTGACCATGGTATGACTTGGATTTTGAGCTCCAGCAAATACGGCAAACAAAGAGGCATTGTGATGCGCAAACGACACGAAGAGAACCAGTTCCTTGCGTTCGCTACACATCCTGTACATTGCTGTCCAGATCAAAATCCCCTCTGTATGCGTTCCTCAACCCATTGATAGGAGCAAACGCGGTGTCGGTCTCACATGCAGTGGCATAGCATCGTCGTCAGGTTCACATGGGCCACGCAAGATAAAGCGCTGGCCAGTCGTTATCGAGAGACAGTCGAAGGCCGGACAAAGCACAAAAGTCAAAAGGAATGGATGGTGATGAATTACCGCCTGCAGCGTCTGCTGGCATGTCTACATAGTCTCGCCTCTATAAGTATCATGGGTATCGTAGGATGAACGTTCTGCGCTCAAGGCCGCCGGCGCGATGGCCTCTGTCCGCAGTCCAACTCTGTCCGGCCGACGTGGTATGTCAACCTGCAGGCGCCCTCGAGACGCCGCCCAGCCGGAAACGCCTGCGCCGAGAAGAAGAGCATCTGGAAGAAGAAGACGACGAGCCGGAAGACGAAAGTCGTCTTTTGCAGCGTGTAGATGGCGAGGTTCAGCAATATGGTCCGACCATGGGCATCAGAGTTCATCTCAAGCGTATAATTCTTGATTGAACTGGAGGGCTTCGGTGATTGGTAGAAGGATTTGTCCATCGTCGGCTCGAATGACCTTATGCCACGTCAGTCGCCGCACGCACCCTGGAATGCGGAATTTCTATTACTTCAACATTGCGATGAACCGTCAGGGTGTACTGTGTGTAATGTCTTCACGAAATTGCAGTGAAGGGGGAGGATTGATGGTCAAGACACCAGGGCGTCGATGCGACGAACGCAGGACATGGCTGATTTATACCAAACAATCCACCAAATACTGCCAACACATGATACAGGGGGCGGCGCGTCCCTTGCCAATACCCCCTAACCGCCTCCGAATCGATGCGCGGATGCGGCACCGCAGACCTGCCAAAGCACACGAGGCACCTCCTCTTGAAACATCTCGTACGCCGTGAATGACCACTCCCGCCCCCCCCCCCCCCTCCCTACTCTGCTTCGTGTCCGAGGCGCCTGCGACCCTGCGCTGTCTCCAGCCACGAAGGCAAAGCAAAGCAAGAGGGGGGGGGGGGGGCGGGACAATCCACGTTGGTCGAATGCGCCACGCGGTGATGTGGTGTGGTATTTCGAGATCAAGGTTACGAGAGAGGGCCCCTCTCACATGCAATCATCTCGGTCGCACAGCGTGCCCTGTGGCCCCGGTTCCTGACGAGAAGGATAGCATCGGGTGTAACCGACTCGTGTTGCTCGTGGGCATTGACGGGGGGTGACTTGGCGCGCTGTCATGACGCAGGTCTTGTGGCTTTGTCAGTGGGCTGAGGGTGGGTGGTGACGAGGTCATTTACACGTGGCGGGAAACAAGCGAGATTCATTCATGCTAGGAAATAGTACGATCAGACATGGAGAGAACCTTTCATGGATACCAAAGGTCCATCGAAGCGTTGTGGACGTAATGTGTGGCGAGAGATTGGTTGTGGGCTTGGAATCAGGATTATCTTCAACTTTAGCTCGATGAACTTCCATCGACCAAAGCAACTTGGCGCAGCGGAAGCGCGCCGGGCTCATAACCCGGAGGTCGGACGATCGAAACGTCCAGTTGCTATCCGATACTTTTGCTTTTGCACCATGAGCAACGCCCACAAAACAAGCAAGGCTTGACAAAGGAAGCACAGAATAAGTACTTTCTGGCGGCACCCATTTTTTCTCTCCCGGATTACATCGTATGATGGATCGACTAGGATGTTCGTCTTTGGGAGTGCCCTCTCTATAATCCCATCTCCGAAAGAACGTTCAGTGGTATTGGGTGAAAGTCCTACAATGAGGTATTGTAGTTACACAAATCTCACCAAACGACAAACGCTCACACGACGCCCGATCACATGTTGACCGTCTCGTGAATCAATAACCAAGCCGCATGGTTAAAAAGCACCCCTGCAAACATGTCCACCTCTACGTTCCTGCTGGCAAACCAACACTTGGCTCTGACCCAAACTCCATCGTGGACTCACAGTCTGAGCTCGTCGCCGCCGCCTCCGCCTCCGACTGGTCCTCCGGCTGGTCCGTCCTGCGGTCCTCCAAGCTCAGCCTCTCGAGCAACCGGTCCGGCTCGTCCGAGATGGAAATGGTCTGCACCGGCCAGCTGGCCCGCAGGTGATGCGCGCCCGTGCCCGTGTTGGACCGCTCGTCGACCATGGCCGTGACGTTGCGGTCGAGCACCTCGGCGACGGCCGGCGGCATCGCGCGGCGCAAAATGTGGAAGAAGACGCGCGCGATGTACAGGCTGCGGCCCTGGTCCTGCAGGCCCTTGGCGCACAGCATGAGCGTCGACACGGTGGCCTCGTCGGCGAGCGGGTCGTCGGCGCGCGCGAGGTCGCGGATGCACAGCTGCGCCAGGTAGAGGAGCCACGTCGGCAGCGAGTCGTTCCAGCTCTCGAACCCGTGCCGGAGGTAGTACAGCCGCACCAGCACGTCGAGGCACTGCCGCGAGTGCGCGCAGATCTCGCGGTACGCCGCCACCGGCGACCCGCTGCTCTGGTCGGCCAGCGAGTCGAACAGCGAGAGCATGACGTTGTGGTACTGCATACTGCATCGGGGCGAGGGTCAGTCGTGAGATGGTCGGAGGACAGAAGAGGGGGAAAGCCTGAGGGAAACGATGGGGAAAATCCGAGTTTGGGTACGCACTGTATCTTGAGATGGGCCGGCAGCGCGACGTAGTCCGGCGACAGAAAGGCCGGCAGGCTGTTGAACCACGCGACCAGTCTCGTCCTGAACACGGCGGCATCGCCGGCCGTCAGCTTCGTCCCCTGCGCCCTCTTGCGCGCTGCCAGGTCGGCAATCTGCGCCATGATGGTTCGGAGCTGGCTGAACACGATAAACGTCTCGCCGAACTGCACCGACGTCGGCATCGGCGCGGACGGATACCGGACCCAGATCTCACCGTATTCGCCATTGTAGGCCTTTATGTCGGCCAGCGGCTCCGTCGGGGGCGTCGTGAGCACAGGCTGCTGCCACATGTGGAAGGCGAACATGCTGTAGAGGCGCACAGAAAGAATGTGAGCCTAGCTGTCGCCCAGAGGTCGATCGTGCGACCATGGCCGAGCAATCGGGGGACTCGGACTTACCCCTGATATCCAAAGAGAGCCCATGCCGTCATGCCGTACACCCTGCGTCGCAGCGGATTCTGAACGTGGTCCAGAGATCCAAAAATCTGCAGCCTCTCTGCCATCCGAGCCCCCTGCCGTAAATACTCCGTGCCGAGCTGGTCCAGGCCCGTGGTCGAGTACCCGGCGCACAGGATCATGGCAGCCTGGACGGTGGCAATCTTGTCCTCTCCCGACTGCATCTCGATCTCCCACAGCCTCCTCGCCTCGGCCAAGAACTGGTAGGTGAGCTTCTGCGGGTCCCAAAACCGGTATCGATCCGAGATGGCGCTGTAGCCGTGCTGTCGAGAGGGGGAAATCAAAGAGTCAGCATCTGCACAGCTACAAATAGACCGTGGAAAGAAGGAGGCGGGGAACTCACGCAGGCTTCGGCCATGACGGCGTGGAAGAGCAGCGGCGAACAGAACCTGTGCCTCTCCGAGACGAGGTCCTCGAGGAAGATGTCCTTGTCGAAGAAGGTGTAGAAGGGATGCTGCAAGATAAAGAACACGCCCAGCAGCCGCCGCACGACGCTGTCGGCGACCGTGACGGACGTCCACGCCGAGCCCCGGATGGCCTCGACGCGCCGGTCCACAAGCTCGACGGCGTGGAACGGGATGCGGTACACCCGATGCCAGTCCTGGTCGCCGAGGCGCGCGTCCTGCGGGTGCGCCAGGAGGCCGGCCGTGTTCTGGTAGAGCAGCGACTTGATGTAGGGGATGGAGGCGTCCTGCGTGAGCGCCGCCGGCATGTGCTTCGCGTACGGAAACGTGTACGTGTAGACAAGGTCCGGCCGCACGGCCATCTGCAGCAGCAGGTCGCCGTCGCGAATGTGCGCCCCGAGCGCGTCGAGGTCGGCGCCCTCCCTGAGCCGGCGCAGCACACCGGCGACGTCGGCCTCGGGCGCGTCGCGCAGGAAGCCAAAGAGGTGCTCGAGGTTGGAGTTGCGCAGCTCGAGCTCCCCGTGCTTGCGCCGCAGCGACTGCCGCGGCGTCTCGAGCTGCGCCGTGTCGTAGACGCACGCCTTGCTGAGGCGCTGGCAGCGCAGGCACTGCGGCCTGTGGGCGGAACACTGTCGTGGAAACAAGTTGAGCACGGTCAGATCCTGATCGGCAGACGAGGACATGCTCTCGCGCCCTAGGTAGAGCTCTCACCTTAGTCTTTTGCTTGCGACATTCCTGGCAGGCCGCCGGGGCTTGACGACGCGGGGGCCGTCTCGTTGTTGGTAGTTCCGAGCTTGACGCCGATGTCCTCGTCGTGAGCGGTGGTCCTTCGGAAGGTGTCGGCAGGATTCGTCGATGGCGATCCTGGCGGGGGACATGGGATGACATTGGTGCTTGGGGGCCAGACCAGGCGCGATGTTTGAATCGGGAGGTTTAGACAGTTGAGCCAGGGCGAAAATGATACATAGTCCTACGCGAAGACCCTGAACAACACAATATCCATGTGCCTCAGTAGAGGTAATTCCTTATTGGCCGCATCATAGACAGGTCTGCAGTATAGCAAGCAGGATGATCCAAAACGCAAGTTGGCATTGCGGATATTCTGGTCTGCGGACATTCTGGTCCGCAGCCGGGTACCGGCGTTGATGCGGTCATTGTGATGTTTAAAATGGAACGGTGAAGAACCTCCTGTGTTGGCGGGGCAAGACTTCTTTGATACTCCTCTTGTCCCTCGTACCCAGAAGCACCGAGATTCGATCACATTCTTCTCGGAATGGCAAACTGCATCAGGGCGAAAAACGCATCTTTCCTAAATACCATTCATGCTTTGCTTGCTAGCAGATGAAACGCCGTTGCTACACCGTGACGCCCGTTGCGTCGGCACCCATAACGCCTAGTCTCAAAATAATGCTAATGCTGTACTGGTCCCAGCACGAATAAGTAGGTCCCTCTTTTGTAATCACATCCGGACCAAGACGTTCCCATCTTGGGGGGTTTTTTTTCCTGCTTCTGCAAGCCACCGGCACCATCAGCAAGAGTGTCGGTCCTCTCAACCAGCCCTGTTGCGGAGGCTGCTAGTACGACCAAAACCAGGCAGCCACTTCCTCCTCGTCCCAGCGGCGATACCGGCGCCGTTGCCTAGAGGAACTCCCCCTCCTGCTCCTGCTCCTCCTCCTCCTCCAGGCCCTGGAGCTCCAGCCAGGGCTGGATCACTCGTTGTTGGGCCCTTGCCGCTCGGGGTAGACGGCAGGCTGGGCGCCACCGACATGGTCGGCGTTGAAGGACCGCGGTCGAAGACCGGCGCACCCTCGTGCTCGACCATACTGCCTCGTCGTGGTTGGCGCTGAATAGGTGGCGGCGTTGCGCCGAGAGCGCGTGTGTCATCATCAACCATATGGGCCCGATGAACCCAGGAAGGAGTGCCGACACCGTTGTTGATGGACTGCCTCCCCGTAGGCGTCGTGGACACTGCAGGTTCAGGCACCAGATCCGACGCGTTGGGTGGTGGCGCGGACCCAGTACCACCGAGAGACCGTCTCCAGAGCGTTTTCATCCTGCCATCGCGAGGCGTTGCTGTGGCCGGCCGCGTGAATGGTGGATATGGACCGCGGCCTTGTCCCTGCCCTTGCTTTTCACTCGTTTGCTGCGGCGTGTGTGGCCCAGCCTCATTCGCCTGCATCTGACTGTCGGTGCTATCACGTCGTCGGCCGAACGACTTGCGCAGCTTGCCCATGACTGGCTCGGGGTGTCGTGAAGTCGAAGCAGATCCTGTCCTAGCATGCAGACTCGACCTCCTATTAGGTGGTGGCGGTGCGCCAGGACCCCCAAAGAGCGCCTGCTGAATAGGCACGAGGTCCTCGAGGGGATCCGGCCACGAGAGAGGTGCGCCTCCGCCGCCGTACGATGCTCCCGGTCCAAACATGGCGTCCGTCTCCCAGCCGCCCGTCTTGGTTGGGAAGCCGAAAAGATCTGGCGATGTCCGCCCGACTTGTTTGGGCTCCTTCCCTTGCTGCATCCAAATATCAAGGCTCGACTCGAGGGACATGATGGACGCATTGTCGTCTTCATCGCCATTTTCCTGCAGCCAAGCTTTGCTCCTCCTGTGGGAGATGGTCGATTCGTCCGCGGATCTAGGGCGGGGCTGAGGCTTGAGCGGCCGCCCGTGCCCATGATGAGCAAAGTCTGCTTCATAGCGTGTTGTCGTAGCTGAAGGAGGCATAATCGGCGCTCCACCGTTATGCTCAGCCACTGGCTCTGGTTTCTCTCCTGCCCTCTGCGATGACGAAGCAAGAAAGCTGCGCTCGTTTGTTGTTGTGTTTGGTTGCTGCACCAGGGTGTCGCCGCTGGAGTTCTTGAAACGGCGCAGGGTCGAGGTCGAAATGGTATCTGGTGTGGGTGGAAGAGCCTGGTCGAAATGAGAGCGCCCGTTCGGGGAAGGGGCATCAGTCATGACCCTCCGCAAGGCCTCACGTTTCTCTTGTTTTGTCTTGCTTTGCGATTGGGATCGTGTGCGGGCCACCTTGTCAGTCGACGGAGACGCACCGTTCGAGGCGTACCCTTCCAGGCGTTCCAGCCTCTGCAGAGGGGAGCTCTGCTCGATGACGTCGGTTATGGATTGGTACTGACCAGATCCGCTTCGCGAAAAGGAGCCGGAGCGTGGGCCACGGCTGGGCGTGACGGTTCGTGATCGCGGCGTCGATGCTAAGTTAGCGGGATTCGAGTACGCTCGGGGGCCCGCCTGTGGCCGTACGCCTTCAATATCGTTCTGCAGATATCGATCGTCACTCTCCTTCTCACCGTAGATGCTGGCGAAGGAGCTCTCGCTCAGAACGCTAAGACTTGGGCTCACCATGCCAGCTCTTCCTGGATCGGTGTCCGCCAGTCCTTCCGTCAATTTCGGTAGAGTAAGGTTACCCCTAGTACCGAGGTAGACGTTGCGTAGGTTTGCTGTTGTTTCTGTCTTTTCAGACACAAAACTCGGCATACGACTGAGCTTCCTGACGTCCTCCTCGAGCCGGGTGAGATCGGCAGTCCGAGCCTTGGGAGTCGGGGCGTCGAGGGAGGCGTCCATCTTGGCCAGGTAGCCTGCCGTCTCGACCTGGCGCACCATTTCTCTTTCTTCCACAAGCTTCTCGACCCGAGCCTCAAGAAGCACAATCATCTGAACAGCCTCTTGCACAGCCTTATCCCGTTTTTCCAGCTCCTCCAGCAGTCTGTCGTTGACTTCCTCCAACTGCTCCTTTTCAGAGGCAAGCTGTTCCACCTTCTCCTCCAGGGTCGTTTGGCGTTCTCGGCGGTGATAAAGTTCGAGTTTTAGGTCAAAGTTTTGTTTGTGCAGCGTTGAAACAGTCTATAGGAGGTTAGCCATGACGCCTCGCTTATGTGATTGTGGTCTGGCGCTTGGATTTCTCACAGCTTCCATTTCCTTGACACCCATGCCCTTCTTCTTGCTTGGTTCTGAACTGCCGCTGGAGCCTGGCCGACGTCCATCAGCCGACCCTGCCTTCACAGGCGAGCTTTGGGCCGTCCGAGTTGGGGGTTCAGCAGCAGCAGCCATCTCTTCAGCCAAACGTGCGGCGGCAGCACGCTCTGCCTCTTCTCTCCTCCTCTGTAATCTTTCTTGCAGGAAGCTCGATGTCCCCGAGTCGGATGCTAGTTTTGGCATTGTTGATTGTGATCTGGGTATCGGGGGCTGCCGGGCGCAAGCAGTGTGGTGGTACCGATGGGACGCATGGTGGGCGACTGAGGAGGGTCTGGGAGGTGGTGCCGTGGCAAGGTGGGAGTTCGAGCTACTGGCGCTCTGCGAGGACATCCTGATGTGGGAGGCGTTGGTGGAGGCTCGTGACGGGGCGCGTGAGTAGGCAGAAGGCGGGCGCGACCTCTCGCGGGCTGCTGCTGAATTTGAGCCGTCCATGTGCACACTCGACGGGCGCCGCCGTCGGCGTTTTCTGTTTGTGCTGAAGGTTTACCGTTGGGTCGGACGGGGAGGAGGCGGCGAGTGTGTTGTTCGACGTGGTATCGTCCGTCAATGCAGTTCGGGGCCAGCAGGACGGGATAATGCTTGTTTGAGGGAGTGGAGTGAAAAGCGTGTATCCGGCGGCAGCCTTCTTTTGAAAAGAAGCGGATATGGGTAATCCCTAATGGGACTGCACGAGCGCGGGAGACGTGACCAGGCGCGTCGGAGAAAGGCGAGGACGCTATGATGGTATAGTGGAGGACGTTATGACAAGCGAGCAGGGCTGAACCTGGTTAGGACTTTGGGCCTGGGCGAGTGGCATGTGTTGCGTCGATTGGAGGCTATGCGCAAGCCGTGTTCGCTCAGACAATGAATAAATGATGATGAATGTGGAAAGTATATGGCCGAGCCGAGGATGCCAATTGCAGTTCGTGAGCCTGATTTCCGCCGTGGTCGGTGTTTACGTTTCAGTCCTCGTTTGCGGCACCGAGATGGTGATGTCTGTCTGATTGTCTGATGTCTGATGTCTACTGTTGGGTGACGAAAGGGAGCGTGGCCCTCGACGAATGGCGACAGGAAGCGGTTCCTAGTAGTGGCAGATGAAGAAAAGAAAAGAGAGCGGCCGATGGCCACGCTGGGAACAGAAAAGATTACAACAAACAGGCATCTGTCTGGGGTGTGATGGTCGGCGCAGCGGTGATTGCAGACAGGGGCATCAAGAGACGAGTGCTGGCACGGATGCCGGGCAACAGGGCGGCAGTGGGCATCAGCGTTCCTGCGACGCGCAGTAAGGGGGGGGAGAGACTCTGGGAGGGTGTCGGCTCGTAGGTACGTCACAGCTCACCGGCCGGGTCGACTGGAGGGAGAAGAATGTAACTTGGGCTGCGGTCGTGGATCGTGTCTCGGGAGGTTGCCAGCCCAGTTCAGTCAGCGCCTGGTGGGGAAGAGAAAGAGACGGTGGAAGGTCGAAATAGAAGGAAGCAGGACGCGAGCGAAGGGCGGCGCGTCTCTACAGGAGGATGCAGGAAAAGGAAGAGGGCTTGTTGGGTAGGTGGGCGGAGGAGATGGGCGAGAAGATGGAGGGAGAGGGAGACAGAGACAGAGACGGAGATAGAGAGACAGAGAGACGGAAAGGAGAGGCAGCCAGGAAGCGACCTCCACTTGGGTGCCGTCTGCTTCCAGCGAGATGAAACGAAACGAAGTGACGCCCGGCACGACGATGTCGTTGCTCATTGGAGTTTGTCGTCTCGCCAGTTGTGCTTCTTTCCTTCTTGCCCGCCAATTGTGCTTGGGCTGTGTGTGGGCGTTGTGGTTTGTTGTGCAGCATTAGCGTTGCGTTGGTCAGCTACAGGCACCTACCCACTCTACCTAAGGTACTGTAGGTACCTTGTGTCCATGTCGCTGGTGTTAGTGCGGATGGGAGGCAAGTTGGGCTAGGCCGGGCCTCTCGTGCCTTCCCTCCATTCTCCATTTTAGGGCGACTTCTCAGCCAACGTACCTACCTACCTAGGTACCTACCTAGGTAGGTAGCTTCAACAGGAGGCATAGGGAAGGGGCCGCCCGCAACGGACCCTCCCGTCCAGCCCGCTAGCTCTTCCTGCCCTTCCTGTCCCTTTTGCTCCTCCCAATCCCACCACCCATCACTGCCTTGAATGATTCAAATCTGAAGCATCTCGGCACCTGTCAGGCAGTAACGACTAGTCCTCCTTCCATGACCGGCAATAATCTTCACAGGCTCCTACTTGTCCACTGGACTTGTCCAGGCCCTCGCATGTATCGTTTGTATTCTACTGCATTATCCAACTCGACAGTTTTCCACTGATAATTCCTTGCATCGTCCCCCATTTTCTCTTCCTTTTTTCTTCAGCACGCGATGGCCACTCGCCGTTCAGCCCAAAGTCGGCCCAAGAACGGATCGGCAATCAGGCCGGGCCGCTAACAGGAAATACCTCCTCATCACTTCGTCACACCCCAAGACACCCAACCTCCTCTGACCAAATTGGCCCTGCAGTCGCTCGATTCGCTTCACCTTGACCCCTGCTTCATCAACATCCTTCACCCTCTAGCCCAATCAGCTTCCTCTCCAACGAGACGGGAACGCGACCGCCCCTGGCTTGAGCCCCCCTCCCCCGGGGATGTGATCCGCGAGAACGCGCCAGCGAAATGCCGCCCCGTCACACCAAATTCGAATGATTCTCAGGAGAAAGGGAGTCAAAGTCAAACGAACGGACATCCGTCGTGAACTAGGCCCTTGACACGGGAGTCTCGCTCCTTTCTATCCATGCATGACTTTGACTGACACGCCGATCGAGCTAGATGCCCAGGTGGAAATGCGAACAGCACCACGTGCAGAAGTCGTAGAACCAGCTGCACTGCACGGCGTTCGCTTCATTGGAAGGGGGGAGCCCGCGTCTACCCCACCATGGTCTCCCTCGATCCGGCACACCTGTTCGGCGCCGTCCTCTCCCTCGTCAGTCGCGCAGCCAGGAGGACCGTCAGGAAGCCAAGTTTCGGTTTCGAAACCCTACCCGCGGCCTCTCCGTCGCTGATGCTTTTCAAGACGCCCCTGGAACCAATTTTCCTGCATGTCCGCTGCCTAACGAGACTCTTCCAATATCCTCTTGCAGGCATCCTCAGATATCATTGCGTCGGTCGGAAGGGTGGACAGATGCGTCTTGTTCGATCTTCAGGGTGCCAGTCACGAGCGCAGGGGTCTAAAGTGCTTGCCGCAAGCTTTGACAACATGTTCGACGACCACGTTGCCATTTGGCATTCGCTGCGTTCCAGCCCTCACCATCGTCTGGCCCACAGGCGCCTGATCCGCCGCGCAGCGTGGCTTGGCGGTCAGTTTGGCGGTCAGCGCAGCCAACACCAGACGGGGGCCGGAATGCATGAGTCGTTGCTGGTGCGAGCGACGCTCAATCCGCGACGCCGTCGTTGACGATTCATCGCTCGTTGTTTCTCACAAAGTGGACTTTTGCGACCACTGACAATTAGGCGCAAGCTTATGTTGCAGATCGCGGCGAGTGACCGTGTCGAGTAGTAGCCATCGCTTCACCCGCAACGCTACGTGACCCTGCCGAAGCCTAATCTGCCGAAGCACAATCGAGATGGCCAGCCCCAAACCTCCAACAGAATATCCCGGGTGCGCAACCCTGTGTGCAGCCTTGCATTTGCATTTGTTACCCCAAACCACCTTACTGTACCGGATGAAGGGCTTCCTGGATTGCCTGGGGCTGTGCAGACTTTCACGGAACCTCATGTTGTACCAGACGACAACCACGTTGTGTACAATGCTGGTATGGACAGGCACATGTGCCCCCACGGACGATGAATGCACTTTCGCGCCCCTTGCATTTCTCCAGTCAGCCCTCGACGTATGGAAATTGCCCTGGCCAGATAACAATCCCATAACATTTCCAGAGTAGACTAGGGGCCTAATTAGTCTTACCTTGTCTGTTGATTGTTTGGTTTCCCATCCAGACAGCGTTTCCTTCCATGAAACCCCTGGAAGGTCAACGACGCCATCTCATCCGTCTCACAACGCGCCTAATCTTGCTTAGAAATGACGTTCTCGGGCTAGGAGGTTCGTATTGTTGCTCCCTTTTCGCGGATGGTTTGGTCGGCAGTGCCGGCGGCGGACTATAATGGCTGGAGTCGATTCTCTCCACAAATCGGCTTCTACACGGCGGCTGCGGCATGGCGTTTGGATGCTTTTCGTAGGTTTGCTATGGTGCTCGAGACCCATGCTACCAGAGTGAAGTAAGCTCGAGCATGCTTGGTATATCTCATTAGTTCGCTGCTCCTGTCACTGTTGGGATGTTGGTCATCGGCATTGGGTGCACAATCTTCAGAATTCAACTCCAGAGCCTTTGTGGAAGGCGAGGTCAGGCCTGGCGTGACAACGGAACGAATTGTTTACCAGCAGACCCAAAAGAATGTACTTGTGAATGATATTCTTTGCTTCCTTCATTGTCCTTCGTACAACAAACAGTCTCCAGTTGGAGATGTGACATTTCGCATACATACAACGCCAACCGCATACCGTAGATTCCATATACACCCATTATGCGTGCCCCTCGTCCCAATGTCCCTCACAAAAGATGTCCCTCACACAAAACAAAATGAAGTATTCCCACAAAGCGTCAAGAGCACAGGCCGAAGCCAACCTGCGTCCCCCTCCAGAAAGTCCCTATGCCAAACCCAGCCCTCCCAGGAGAGCGCCTACCAAACACCGACAAGGCCATGATGTCCCCGACCCTGACCCCGGCCGTCGTCCTGTACGTACCCGTTCTCGTTGCCGTCGCCCGCCGAGCTCCGGCTCACGACGTGCGCGAGCCCCGTCCCGTCCTCGGCGGCAAAGGCCGCCGCCGCCTCGTCGCCGCCGCCCGTCTCGGGGCTCCATTCGGACCAGTCTGACAGGCCCGTCATGCCCATGGCGGACGCCATGTCTGAGTAGCTGTGGCTCGTCGTCATGGTCAGCGGGCTGGTCAGGTCGACGCTGTCGCCGCGGAGCCCGCCCGCTGTTGCTGCCGCTGCTGCCGCCGCCGCCATGTCGACGGGCATGATGCCGAGTCCCATGCTCGGCACATCCACGGCGCTGGCGAGGTCCAACTCGCCCATGCCGGCGGCCACCATCATCTCCTCCTCCTTGAGCGTGACGCCCTCGTCGACGACCTCGCCCAGCACCTCGCCCCTCCAGTCGGGCGGCACCTCGCCGAGCCCGCCGCCGACGCCGGGGCTCAGCGCGACGCGCATGCAGCCCGGGTTCTCGCCGGCGGCCTTGAGCAGCTTCTCGGCAAACTGCACCCTGCTGTTGGGGCTGGCGCTCAGCGTGCGGACGAAGAACTCTATGGGGTCCTTGCTCGAGCTGCGGCGGCCCGTGTTCAGCACGCCCAGGTCGCCGGCCGTCAGGTCCATGCCGCCGGGCGCGAAGCCGACGCTCTCGCAGGCGCCGAGGACGTTGACGCACCAGGTGCCAATCTCGAAAATCTTCTCCATGATGCCCATGCCGTGCACCTCGACCGCTTTCGCCGGCAGCGACGCCAGGATGGCGGCCGTGTCGCGGGCGACGGAGAGGGGAAAGGAGAAGCACATGCTGTTCGGGGGCGCGTTGGGGTCGGGTGCGTCGGCGGGGTTCGTCCATGAGAGGAGCTGCTGCCGCATCGACGACTGCCAGACGATCAGACGCAGCCACTGTTGCGTCACGAGCAGGTCGGCCTTCTGGATGTCGGTCGGCTCGGGCGTCGAGGGGTCGGTGCTGCCGGCGAAGAGCGACGTCGGGGAGCGGGGCCGCAGGAAGATGGGCGGCAGGGCGAGGAGGTTCTGGAGCGCGACAAAGGTGGCGGCGCTGACACGGGGGTCGGAACCTTCGTTCCAGGCGGTGACGAAGGACTCGTCGAGGGGCGTGTACGACGAGACGAGCTGGAGGAAGCCGGCGTGGATGTCGGGGGATTCGTACGAGTGGCGTGTTGCAGGGAGCGAAGGGGTTTGCTTGAATGTGATGGGTTTGTTGCGAAGGATGGCAAAGGAGCTGCAATATCGTCAGTGATGCCCTGGGGTGCCAACTCGGCCATCAACTACAGAAAACATACCGTTCCGTGACGAAGAGAATCCAGAAGACGCGCTGTCTGCAGAGTGTGTCTTCCGGACTGAGGCCATAGTAGGTCGAGTCGTTTTGGAGGCCGAGATCCTGTGCGTTGTTCAGAGCCTCGCGGAGATAGTGCCACGACTTTCGAGACTGGTTGATCTCGAAAAAGGACGTCGACAGGTAGAACGATGAGATGACGGCAGAGAGCGACAGGTCCTCGAGAAAGTCGTACGACTGCCGCACCGAGATGCACTCGTCGAGGAAGAAGCGGCCGGCCACCTCCCACGAGGGCGGGCCCGGGGCCTCGATGCTCTTGCCTGACATGTGCATGGACGTGAGCGCGCACAGGGCGTAGATGAGGTTCTTCTCCGAGGGCGTCATGGGGCGGGCGATGGTTTGGCGGATGGCGGGCATATACAGCAGCGGCATGATGGGGTAGATGTGCTCGTAGTAGAGCTCGACACACTGTGGCACCATGTAGAGGTAACTCCGGCTGTTGGGACGATAGTCGTCGCTCGAGAAGGCGCTCCGCGGCTCGGGCACATTGTGGCCGGGGTTGGAGGTGAGGGTGGCCCAGAACTGAGGCGGGCTGTTGGCGGCCGACGGCGCAGCAGAGGGGTTGGCCGACGAGTCGCTCATGGACGGATCGAAGCTCAGGGGCGGACAGGCGGCGGAGAGTCGGCGGCGCACATACTCTGTGGGGTTGTCCTGGGAGCCTTGACCTCCCACTCCCCCGCCTTCGAGAGATAGCTGGCCTGGAAAGGTGTCCTTGGCTCGCAGCTCGTTGATGACCCGGCCATGGCCACGTTTGGGACCCCTCTTCTTGGGAACGTGGTCGCGCTTGCAGGTGAGAGCGGCGTTCAGGCACTGCTCACATGGGTATTTGCCATCGCACCGGATTCCTGCGGTGGCGTTAGCATGTGCGCTTGTGGGGTGGTCATGATGATGGGAGTATGTGGCTGTAGGAAGGCAAGAGCCAGGCCGCGAGGCGTGGTCAAGGGTGGTGAGAGAGAGAGAGAGAGAGAGAGAGAGAGAGAGAGAGAGAGAGAGAGAGAGAG